GGTGCGGTATCGGCTGTTGATCAAGTCCCAGTGCTGTATCTGGTGTTTGTCACAACGCGCTATTATCCAAGTCATCTTGAAAACATTCTTCTTCCAAAGGTCAGTTTCTCTGACCGTGACTGAGTGGATGTGCTCTCTTCGTCCTCTGGCATGGGAGCTGCCTTGGAGCTCGTCTGCCTGGCTGTGTGTTTCCTGGACGGGGAAACACGCAGCCAGATTTTTGTATCTCTGCTTCTGTCTCCTTGAACCCCAGTGGGCCTCGGCAGATGGCCGCTCACACTGAGCCTGGTTCTGCTGGAGGTTTCTTCCTGTTAAAAGGGAGTTTTTCCTCTCCACTGTCGCTACAAGCATGCTTAGTGTGGGGGATTGTATTTGAGTCAATGAGTCGATGCAATCAACTGGTTTTCCTTAGATAGAAAACTTTGTATCAATTTGACTGTATGATCTGGTTGAACTGTAAAGTGCCTTGAGATGACATGTGTTGTGAATTTGGCGCTATATAAATAAACTGAATTGAATTGAAATGTTGGCTACATATTACGGGTTTTTTCTCTGGCCAGAAGTTCGATGGCAAATCCTCCCTCTTCAAGTTGGCGATCCAACGACCAACCCGTCCGTGGAGGATCAGGAATCAGAAAGGTGGAATAACTTTTTTTTCCACTTTTACCCGATGTATTCCAGCATCCAGCTGCCATGCACGTGGGCATTGTCAGTTTCACTATAGCTCTGGTGAATTTCAATGGTGAAGTCCTCTGGAAATCTTCAATAATTGTTGTTGATTGCAGATGTGTCTAGTAGTTCCCATTGATTTAGCTTGTAAAGCGGGGAGAATGGCGCTAGGCTTACCGCACCGTGACGTCACTGCTGGAAGATGGCAGGAGGGAGTGGCTACTAGCCTAGTAAACTAGCCCCACCCACCAGTGGCCAAAATCATTTTAGCCTGTGAGTGGTCTGGCCTCGATCAATGCCTCAGGCCCTAGAACTGGCGGGCCAATCACAACGCAGACATGTGTTTTGAATTTCTGGACGCAAAATGGGCGGGGTTTGAGGGCGTGACGACAAAGCTGCACGACGCTGAAGAAAACACAAGGAAGCTGGCAACAACTATTGAACAGTTGTTGTTTGACTCTGCTTTGGAATCAGTTTTGGAAGGATTAGACTTTGGGTTTTAAGTTGAAACGTGAGCAGGAAGAGGCTCTACGCTTGTTCATTTTTAGGAACAACGTATTCGCCGTTTTACAGAAAGCTTTCTGTCGTGCTTAATACGTCACAGTCAGTTTCGCTCATTGGTCAGAGCGTTGGCCAATAGGGAGAGACATTGTTTGAAAGATAACGGGTTGTTCTCATCAACAATCTTCTGATGTCTCATTCATCGGGGCCAGACTAAATTACACATTTAATCTCACATTAAGTCTGGTTTATCAGGCTAAGGTGGTACTATATTTGGGCAAAATGGTCGCTCCCAGACTCGGTGATCGCGATGAAAATTATTATCTTTATAATAATACAGTGTATCTCTGTATGTATGAATATTTCAGGGTCATATAATTCTAATGATTTGTCATATCATGCTCTTTGAAAAATACTCAAGTCTTTTGAGGAGACTTTGTTGAGCTATTTTTCTTTTTTTATGGATTCATCAAAATCCCAGAAGCATTTGCTGAAATACTGGTTTATAACCTGAAAGTGAAACAACAGCTTCAGAACGATGGACTCCTTTTGTTTGACTTCTAGGAGTGATTTATTGTGTTAAAGACGTCTACATGTTCACGGGTCAACGTGAAAACCTGTGACGCTGGTTTGCAGAAGGGATTGCTGCTAAGTCAACAACCCGATCATCCTGGGGGAGAGAATCCTGTGAAGTCAGTGACTGGATGCAATCAGCTGGGATTTTTCAACCTTTAATCTGATTTCTATAAAGCAGCTTTAGATGACGTGTTGTTAACTGCTGTTAGGAAATTAACTGAACTGAATTCTAAAAGTAGAATGGGAGGCAGATCTTTTAGTTCTCAGGCTCCTCTCCTGTGGAACCAACTACCAGTTTTAGTCCGTGAGGCAGACACCCTGTCTACTTTTAAGGCTAGGCTTAAAACTTTCCTTTTTGATAAAGCTTCTAGTTAGAGTGGCTCAGGTTATCCTGAGCTATCTCTATAGTTCTGCTGCTATAGGCTTAGACTGCTGGAGGACATAGGGACCCCTTTTTCATCATTCTGCTTCATTCTATCTCTATTCTCCCACTCTGCAGAATCTGTTAGTTCAATCTCTAACGTTCTGCTCTCTCTGCTTTTTCTCATAGTAGCTTCATCTGGTCTGTTCCTGTTTGGCTGTGACTCCATCCTGGAGAGAAATATCAGCTGTGCTGCTGCCATCAACACCTTTGTTTCTAGATGTTGGAGCTTGGCCTGTTTTCCAGTGTAGTCCTGTTTCTCTGACTGTGACTAACTGGATGTTCATCCTCTGACATGGGAGCTGGCTCGGAGCTCGTCTGCCTGGCTGTGTGTTTCCTGGACGGGGCCGCCTGTGGAGCTGGTTGACAGTTGCCTTTTGTATCTATGCTTCTTTTTCTATGTCTGCTTCTGTCTCCTTGAACCCCAGTGGGCCTAGGCAGATGGCCGCTCACACTGAGCCTGGTTCTGCTGGAGGTTTCTTCCTGTTCAAAGGGAGTTTTTCCTCTCCACTGTCGCTACAAGCATGCTTAGTGTGAGGGATTGCTGAAGAGTCAATGAGTCGATGCAATCAGCTGGTTTCCTTAGATAGAAAACTTTGAATCAATCTGACTGGATGATCTGGTGAACTGGAAAGTGACCTGAGATGACATGATGTGAATTGGAGCTATAGAAATAAACTCAATTGAATTGAAAACCTTCAGTCTAAGAATTATCCTCTGGATCTAAGGAATACCTCTTTGTTTGTCGGGTAAACTTGTGTATTTCCACGTCTCTCCGCCGCCTCTGCTGCTTGGATCTAGTCTGAGGTTTAAGCTAAGTTCAAATGTAACGGCTGATCTTCCTTCTCTTCTTGTCTTGGTTCCAGTTTGGATGCAATTAGTGCCGACCAAAGCCAAGATTCATCTTTTTACAACAAATCCCATCAACAGGATTACCTTGGATCCAGAGGTCAGGATGTTTTCCTTCTCTTCCAGTTTGTATAAATAAAATAATGCAAAGCTAAAACCCTGAAACAAAGTGGCTCTCAGCAAATTAATGAAAAACAGAAGGTCTAATAATAAGAGTCAGCAGAGTTTCTATATCTGCTGCAGGGATGGGACGGATTAGAAACGCTGGCTGATAACGTGTGAGGAGAGCAAAGGAAGTAAAACCCTGCAGCTCCTGTACCTTCAAACCACAGGACCAAGGTTTCGTTTTTTTATCACGTTTATTTCAGTATAAGTGGTTGTTTAAAACACCTCAACATTGTTTCTCTAAACTTCTCATTTTCTTGCAATCTGCAATACAAGCAAGCAACACATCAACATCGTCAAACATGGCCGAGTTCCACATGGTCCGACTCGGCGTCACATTACGCAAACTATTTGACGAGAGTCAACATTAAGACAGGTGGGAAGCAAACAGTCACATGGTCACCTCGAATCACATCCTGCAGAGGCAGAACAACCCGATTACAGACACGGAAAAGGGCTCCATTAAACCGTCGGATGTGTGTGAGGACGTGCGCATGCATGTGCATCTTTGTTCCTGTCGTAGAAACGTGACATCACATGAAAATCCAACGTGTTGTGATAAGGCATTATGTGGCGAAAAGAAACAGCAGTCAACAGAATCAACATCATTACCAGAAAGATCTGCTTTTTAAGGCCGAGCAACAAAGGGTCTCAGCAGAACTTTAGAGGAGATCCTGTAAAAAAACAACAAAACTAAGCAGGTTTCCTTACATTCCTCATGAAAAGCTTTCACTCTTTTCCAGGCTCAACTTTCCAGACTTCATCTGTGTTTCCAGGATGGAGGAAGGAGAGAGAAAAGGAGATGGAATGCAAGGAAGAGACATAGATTTAAGGAAACCAAGGAGGATATGAAGGAAGGACAGAAGGATGCAGCTTTAAACAACAGGAAGGACATGCACGTTTCATTATTTTCTCTGTAGATCCAGGAAGAACCGGACGGTGCGATGCTGTTGGCGAGCAGGTGGTCTGCAAACTCCATCTTTGAGCAGACGGTGGGCCGACGCTTTAAAAACTACACCTAAAAATACATTCATGACGACGACGTCTTTCACAACAAAACCAGGAGGGGAGAAAGCAGGACGCCGGGGGTTTGGGTTTCAAATGGCTCAGGCCCGCAGGCAAAACCCAAACCAGTCCTAGAACCGGGCCCGACACCCTGAACAGAACCCAGCTGAACGGTGGGTTCAGGGAACAGGAACCAGGGGAGGAGAAAGAAATTTGCTTTGGTTCTGAAAACATTTATGTTAAAATCAACCGTATAAAAACTCCCAGGAAAATGTTTGGTGATCGGCCAGATCCAGGGAGGGTTCTGATGGCGCCGAAGCCCGGGTGAAGAACCCGGCTGGTTTTCTAAGGGGGGTTCCCTTTCATGTCTGAATAGCTGGTATATATCTAACTTTTTATTTCTACCTTACAGAACTGGGCTTTGATCAGGGCCCGGTTCTGACCCGTTAGCTCACAGGTGCATCAGAACATCTTCCTCTTTATATAAGTTTGGGTTTTAAAAAAAGGGCCAGCTCAGAACTTCTTGGGCTAAATCCGGGTCGGTCGGTTCTAGAGGCCAAATAACTGCAGAACTTTGGTTTAGGTGTTAATCTGATTCATCAGTTATAGTTTTCTACTCTGAGGGTTTAAAGGTTTATAGAAATCCAGTTCTTAGAAGCAGAGGTCCGCTGTAGCCTCTCTGAGCGCTGCTAGCTTTAGCATCTGGTACTAAGAGATCTGGAGGACGCCATCATGTATCTACTGCAGCTGAGATTTCACCAGCTAACCTGCTTTTACGATTAAAAATCCCAACTGTCCTTTCAAAGAGCCTCTCCACAGCTCCCAGTTCAAACCGGCTCCTTTGAATCCAGACCAGTCATGGTAACCGGGGGGTGCCGCCCCCAGCGCCGGCGTCTGCTCTCACTGTTCCCTGAGAACCCCAAACAAACTTCCCCTGTGACCACAGCTACGACAAACGCTGGGGACAACAAACCCCTCTTATCCTGAACGATTTAAACATAAAAACAAACATTTTACAAACGGTACAGTGCAGCATTGCAAGGAGAGGAAATTAAAAGCAAATATTTACAAACAGTGACGATGAGCTTGGCTGCGCTCGGATCCTGACGTGGGTTTGGCTCTAGAGAACGGTGCGCTGGTGCTGGAAAGGAAAGGTGTTTCAGGGGAACATTCTGTCCATAATCCACAGTGAAATTCCCCAGCTGCCCGGCCAGGGACGCCAATATCACACCTGCTCAGATAGTACAGCACATAACTGTACTATTCAAAGACGTGTTTCTGACCTGATGAACAAGCTTTTTAACTCATGTTTACAGCGTAAGACTATTTTAATATATTTCTCTTTTTCTATGTTGTTCTGTGTTTTTGCATTCTTTATTCCAGTTTGAATGCTTATTTTGGCTTTAAGCAATAAACGGCTCCGACGAACAGAGCTGAAATTCCAAAAAGGAGTCATTCCCAGGACGAACTCTGATCCTTCACAGCTTGCTTCGGTTTCCGCTCCCCCCGCCCCCATCAAGTCTGAGCCCACAAACACAAACATTTAACATTAGAAAAATAAGTTATTGCGCATCCAAAAAAAGTGCATCGTATCCTTGAAAAATATTTATATTTTTTCCCCCGTTTTCCTTCATGTTTCCTGCCAAGCGGGTGGATTCCCACCGATGGATCCGAGATGGCGGGATGTTTCTGGGTGCTCCGATGTACGAGGGGATGGCCAGCTATGCAATGACCATGGGGACGTCGTCGGAGAATCCGCTGATCATTGGAGCATCTTCATCATCATCGCCTAAATCAGAAGAGGACGAGAACAGAAAGGATTTCATGTTTGCATGTCGTGTTACTTGGATAATTTTCCAAGCAGGAAGAATCAACATCAGCACTGCGAAGAAAAATCAGATCCTTTGACTGAATTGTTGGGAAACAATTAGTCGTATTAGTCAAGTCGTGTATCAAGTAGGGCGGTGAATCTTTGGGATTCCCACGATTCGATTTAGAATCGATTCTTGGGGTCACAATTAGATTTTTTTCCGATTTTTTTAAATCCAAAGGATTCGATTCAGAAACGATTAATTTACGATTAAAGACGATTCTCAGGATCTATTCCAGTCTGCTGGCATGAAAGAAGAGTACATTTATAAAGACTTTATAATTAAAAATGTTTTATTTACCTATTGCAATAATGTAAACACCAAAAGGTAAATTCTACCAACAACTCTGGGTGATGTCTTCAGAGATGATAAAGGGGATTTGAAGTACTCCTGAAATACTTAACTTTACCGTTGCAATCTCTGCAAATCGCATGAGTCATGTCAAGCCCTTTCTAACCCGGGCCGGGTTGAAGGTAAAATCCAAAGTGTTTCCAAATGGTTGCTTTTAAAGACCGCGGCGGCGGTTGAATTTCTTTTTCTTCATCCTCCATACTTTAGCAGCAACAAACACAGTAGCTCACACAACACTACACACAACTCTGTAGCCTGCTAGGCTAACGCTTCCATGCCTGTCCATAGCTCACACTGCTCATTGGTTTCGCCAAACACTACGGTGCCTGATAAGTAGGGGTGTAAATAATAATCGTTTTGTATCGATGCATCGATCCAACAGCCGAGGTTCCGATGCATCGATACGTCTGCAATAGAATCGATTCATGTTTGTTTTTTTCCTCCGGTCTATTTTTATCCATTTGCTCCTGGGCGTAATTCTCCTCCCGTGCTGCGGTGGCGCTAAACCTATTTTGCCCTCCTACCTCGCTTCCTGGTTACACTCTTACAGCAGTGTGTTGCAGTGAGCTTGATGCAGACATTTTTGATTTATGCTCAATATTGAAGCGTGGTCTGTGCTACACGCTGTGGGTCTAGATACGGCCGAGGCGGCGAGGAAGTGGGGGTGATTTAGTCCGACGACGGAGGGACATGAGGGCCAAAAAGAGCGGAGATCCAGGTGGAAAAAGGGTCCCAGCGTTCTCGCGCACCTCGCTCTTCTAGCGGGTCGAACTTCACGAGTTGTTTTCCACAATTTCGGTCACAAAAACAAAACAAGCCGGCCTCCTGTCTGCGGCACTGTCTCCGGTCAGCTATAATTTGGGAGAGGAGCAGTGGAGCGTCTGTGGAGGGGACGGGACGTCTGGAGCCAAGGTATGGAATTGAACTCATTGCAATGATTTTGTATTTTTACAGTATTTTTTGATGCAACTTTTCTACTTCTGTTATTTGCTGTTGTTTCTAAAAACAAATGCATAATGATATTACAGCTTTCATTGATTTATTTCAAACTTGAAACTTTGTTTAGCCTGTAAGGTGTAAAAAAAAAAAATAAATAAATAAAATAAATATTTTAACCGATTAATCGAATCGAATCGTGGTGTATTCTTGAGTATCGAAAATAATCGAATCGTTGGTCAGGAAATCAATACTGAATCGAATCGCCATGATGGATGTGATTTACACCCCTACTGATAAGGCACATCCACACCCACAAAAACGATCGTTTTTAAAGAAAATGAGAATCGATTCTGAATCTTTAAATGTTAGAAACGCGAATTTGAGCTCAAATTGATTTTTTTTTTTCACCCCTAGTATCAAGATCGGATCTTTAAGAGCTCAGAACATTTTAACTAGAAACCAAATACGTTTAAATTTTTCCTTTGAAATATTCCTATAAATGATTTCTAATAAACCTGGTGAGCTGAAAGAGAACTAAAAACTGAACAGAGATCTGGAAACAGATTCTGGGTCAGAAGGTTGTTTGGATCAGATTTTACTTCCGTCTAACCGGATTTAAACTAAGCATCTGAAGGCAGGTCATTTAGCGATGCAGTCCGACACAATATAATCTTCACACTGCATGAAAAGTGGGATTTTCGTCAATATGCGGCACTGTAGATTGTCGTGGAACTTCAGGTTAGCGGCAGTTTACGACAATTTGCAGGCTTCGCCGAAAACTCCCGTAAATTGTCAGAAATTGACGTGGACTTTGTTAGGCAGTGTTCCCCCCATGCCTCCCCCCCATGGGATTCTAGGGGAGGCTTTAACATGTAAATGAACATGCTGTGAGCTATACAAATGCAAATCAGGGTTGCAGGGGGGGTTTTACTCCAAGTGACATTTTTCTAAAAGGTAAGAAATCTCTGATACAAAGAGATCAGGCTCAGTATAGCCTCTTACATTTTAGCTTGATTGGATTTATTTAATTAAAGTATAGAGACCAAAACAGATATTTAGCTGACAGAGCAATACATTTAGAGCAGTAATTATAAAAAAAAAAAAAAAAATTGCATTTAAGATAAAAAATAAAATGTTGTCTGTCAATATGCTCAATTCACAATTAAGTGGAAAAGTTTCAAGAAATGAGTCTGAGATGATTCACTTTATAACATGGCGCATTATCCTGTTGGAAGTAGCCATGAGAAGATTGGTACACTGTGGTCATAAGGTCCGGCCAGGTCAAGATCCGCAATTGCAATCGCACCAAACAGGAAAAAGAACATCGAGAAATTCCGGTTCGTCAAATTAAAATATAGCAGCAACAGATCGGTGACTAGAAATTATAGCACAATTCTTATATATAAAAAAAAAAAAAAAAACTAACACCGTTTATTTCAATGATTGGATCCAAACTATTGGTTATTCACCAACGAGGAAGCAGATTTCTCATCTCCATCAAAATATTTATTTTATACCGAGGGACTTAAACTTTAATCAAATCCATTCAAAAGAAACTTCTTATTACAGGAATGAAAAGAGATGTTTGGGAGAAGAGAACAAGTTCATTCAAAAAAAGCAGTTTTGAATTATCCTTATCCCCGTTACAAAAATCTACAAAAATATATATATATATATATTTGGGCAAAAACTGAACATATGCTGGATGATGGTGGGATTTTTTTAATATGTCATATTAAATTAAGCACTCACAGGGTTCATACAGGAATGAGTGACTCTACTTTAATGCTATTTTAATGCTATTTGAAATGATTTTAATGCCATCAACAAGAACCATGTACACAAGTTATTAGTGTACATGAAATATGAAGGAGTTGCAAGCAGAGTTCCATGACTCCTGTATGTATGTAAACACACACACACACATATATACGTATATATATATCCTCTAGCTTTTTCTCCGCCTGGAGCGATATAATATATCTGACGAAATTGTTTTTATAAGCATTTTTTATTAAAGAATTATAAATACTTCGATAAACATATTTCAATAATTTTAGTGCCAATTAAGGCCTTGATTTAAAAAAAATGAATGATTTTTTAATTATTTTTATTGATCCGCGGAAACCCTGGTTCATCTCGCGCATGCGCTCTACGATCTCCAAGAAACTCAGAGCGGCGCGGTGAGCAGCCACAGTGGAGGATGTATGCTTTGCTTTGTGCAGCGGTCTGGAGCGTCTGGATTTCGGGGTAAAACTCCTCTTGGACGCGATGGCGACTCTGCATCGAACAAGACGAACTCAAAGAAGAGATGCTAGCGGTAAATATATGTTCGATTACTGCCTGCTAGGCTAAAAGCAGCCTAGCCTAAGCTACCGCTAATAGTAGCCTAGCCTAAGCTACCGCTAATAGCAGTAGCCTTGCAAGAACAAGCTTTATTAAAGTGTATTTTTTGTGATTCACAGGAAGCAGTACGCCGTCTTCACAACTCGGAGACTAACTGCAGGCGCTATGAACCGGAGCAAGGGTAAGATTTAAAGAATATGCTTTCATTCTGCGGTAAAAGGCAATGGATACGGATGGATACCGATCATAGCTTTTACATTTTGTTTTCACAGACTACTGTCGCCTCACAATGAGGCGGTGACCTATTTGCTCGGAGCCATATCAGCAAGTCCAGATTTGCACGATGTTGATAAAGACGACATTGTGTGTAAGTGACTTGTTTTAATGTTTTCTCCTTCCTTGTTACTGTGACTTGCGTTTGATTTTTTATTTATACCACTCTCATTTAATTGTTTTCCAGCTGCCTGTAAGACGTATTTTAAGACGGTATGCAGGAGCTTCAGATATACGCTGCCAGCCAACACGCTGCGTGCGGAGGCTATCTGCTCGGAGTCGGGCCAGAAGAAAGAAGGTAAGACTTTATTTGGTGACTATTTTTCAGGTGCATTAATAGATGTGTTGTGTCCATTTTTTTTTTCAGCTGCTGAAAGCGAGGCAGAGTGTGCTAGCAGATGAGGAAGTGGAACTCTGGAAGTCTGCCACCATCGACCTCATGTCTGACGAAGAAGATGGCGTCGTTGGGGGATGGATTGTACGGTCGCCGCCATTTCGTAGGCCGGATCTCACTGAACTCTGTTAAGCTGCAGTCCCGGTTAGAAGCGATGCCGAAGTACAGGGCCACGCACAGTAGGCGTCTGCACATCGGACCTGTCTCGAAGGGAATGCTGCCAGTTACCTCCAACCCCGAGGAGGCAAACGGACCGTTCACGGAGTTGTAATTTTTGGATACGCATGTGTGGGCAGACCCTCGCGTTGTATATAGTTGTGTGTGTTTTAATAAAGCTCTTTCTTTGCATAAACAGCTTCCTGGCAAATGTTCATTTCCTGTATAAATTCATTCATGTCCTTGATGGTAGCCTAATAATTGTGTAGTAGTGTAGGATAACATAAATACACACCATATGAATGAATAAATATATGAATGAATAAATATATATATGTAAGCCAACCAATCACGAGCGACTTTACTTGTTTAAAAAGAAGTGGTTCCGTCCAATACTCAGTAAGAAAATTAAAGCCTGGCGTGGCCACGTGTGGTTTTGCTGCCAATCACGAGTGATTTCATTTGTTTGAGAATAGTGGTTTCAGCCAATACTGAGAAGGTTATTCAAGCCAGACCTGGCCAGCCGCGCGGGTTTGCTGCATTCATATGCTAATTAGGGCCATTAGTACAGCTGATCGCTCTCCACATACGTCAGAGTCCGTTTCCGACAATTTGTGGCACGACAAACGCGGACAAGCACGGGTTGCAAATTGTCGGAAACTGACGAAAATCAGGCAGATCTGCGGGAGTTTACGGGGAAGAAAATCTCACTTTTCATGCAGTGTCATCCATCTTTTTTAGAATCAGAATTTTTAGAATCCGGAAAAAAATCTGTTTTGTTTTCTTTCACTAAAGTTTTTAAGCTTTCACTCTTTTAACATGTTAGGATAATTATCATTGAAGATGTGTGAGTTTATTACACCCTGGTTTGGGCTGCCTGTTGCGCGTCAGAACAGACATTTTAATCTGATTAGGACCGGGGTCGGCAACCCAAACTGCTCAAAGAGCCATATTGGACCAAAAAAAGAAAACAAATAATCTGTCTGGAGCCGCAAAAATGTAAAAGCCTTATATTAGCCTCGTATGGCAACACGGGCTCTAAGTGTTTTATCCCACTATAGAAAAATTTAATGTTTATCCTGAAACAAATGTCACATGAGGTGACGGAGGAACAGTGAACGCTCCCATCGCGCACTGCTTCACCGGGCGCCGCTGCACCACCTTCACTGCGCGGTTTAAGTTTTCTTGCAATGATGAAATTATAGAAACACGATAAAGGAATCTTTCTATGGTGGACATGTTTCTGTTGGGAGGAGTTAATTTAGTTATGAGGAACCAAGCAGGAAGTGACATCAGAGCTGTGCTCTCTAACCCCGAAATCCCACATCCTCCATCACCATCGTTCCTTGGTCTGATTAATATTTTTAGGATTTGGGGAAAAATGGCAGAAAGTTCCCATCCCTGCATCAGAGCGCCACCTGTTGGATCTGTGGACGGTTTTCCATCCTTGCAGCCAAATTAGCAGCAGTAGTTTGGAGATGCAATCTACTTATTAAATCTATCTTTGCTCTCCTCTAATTTATCCTGCAATCACACTTTTTCTCTCCCTCCCAGCTTGGTGGTGGGCTGTAGATTTAGCCTTCCCTGGAAATGCCTTTCCTAATTTTTCTTTTTTTTTTTGACACCCTCTCATTACAAAGCAAAAATGCAGGCAATGAGTCGGCCTATTTGAATCCTCTTTTCTCATCAGCTATCTTCCTTTTTCCCCTTTGGGATTCATATTCCGAAACACGCCTGCAGCTTTGTTAGCCTGGCACCGCGCCGTGTCACGCTGGTTCCAAGTTATGATCACTGATCTCTATGGCTATGATGCAAATTATTGTTCAAATTGATTTATAATACAAATGTTTAAAGCATTGGAAAACATTAATTTTTGTTTGCAACCTGCACAGCATATAAAAAAAAAAAAAAAAAAAAAATCGATTTTCATAAATTTTAGAAAAAGTTCCAGGGAGCCACTAGGGGGAGCTAAAGAGCCGCAGTTTGCCGACCCCTGGATTAGGACAGTTCCTCTCTCTGGATATACCGTTATAATCTTCATTTTGTTCGTGGCAAATATTTGGAAATGGAACGAGAGCGGCGTCCTGCAGCTAAGAACGAAGTGTAATATTTTGATAAGGCTGGAGCCATGGATGTCTAATCATCTGCTAACATCTATGATATAATGATGATGCAGACTGGAGATTTATAAAATGCCTTCTTAACTGTTAATTATGGCCACTTCCTGTGAGGTGAGCAGCTGCCTTCTGTAACTCGGAGCTATTTCTCTGATCTGAGTAAGATTATAATTTCTATCAGAATCTGTTGTTGTGTCTCCTGGTTATTTAATACATATAAGTTATGAAGTGTTATTTAAAGAGTTTTACCCAAGTCATCTCTTTTCAGGGAAAAGAACCGGAAAGATAGAGCATCAGGGTGCATAAACAGAGCCTTTAACAAACACTTCATAAAACCATCATAAAACTTATGATATTTTCACACTATTTGCTAAATTTAGGAGCTGCAACCAGCTGCATCACTCTGAGCTGCAATGGTGTCTCCTCAGCCCCTCCAGGAGAGGAACAAAGGGTCAGGCATACAGTAGCATCCATTCAAAATGGCCCAGTCAAACGTTACACTTCCTTCCAACTGAATTCACTGAATTACGGCGTCTGACCAGGAGATGGCGCTTCTCTTTAGATCTTAATGTCCACAAATAATGACAGAAAGAATATTTTAGTACAAAGATTGATGTTTAAAAAGGAATTGAAGGGGAGCAGCCAAGGACCCAACAAGGAAAGTGGGGTAATTTTGAATGGCTGCTACCTTATAACTAAACAAGAATCTATTTGTTATGAATAAAAAAACGACCAATAAAATATCTCCAATGTACAGAACGTAGAGCTATCATTAATAGATAGGGTACGTTTCTCCAACACACTGTCATATGGAAGCCAATCGTTACCATATTTCTAATTAAAAGGCATTTTCAGAAATGCTTTTTTTATTTTAAGAATGTTGCTGCATTGTTTGACTCATAAATGAAATTAGTAATCAATCATCCTATTTGCATTTTCATTTTCTTCTTTAACACCGCTCATCCTTTTACTTAATTAATACAAAAAAAAAAGACATTTGAGATTTATTTTTCAAAATGTACTCCAGCAAATACGAACCAAAATTCAATTTGAAATGTAAATTTGAAAATGAAAAAGCATTTCTGGAAATGCTTTTTCATTTTAAGAATGTGGCTGCATTATTTGACTCATAAATGAAATTAGTAATCAATAATCCTATTTGCATTTGCATTTTCTTCTTTAAGACTGCTCATTTTATGCCATAATCAAAGAGAAAACACGGCGGACATTGCTTTTTCGTTCTCATGGTCTGCCTGCAAAGAACTGTGCTGCAAAAGCATTTCTGAAAATGCTTTTTTAATTTAAATATGGTAACGATTTGCTTCCATACTGTCAGACTATTTGTTACTTGGTATCAATGATGCTAGCTGTGATTTCTCTCTGTTTTTAGTGTAATCCAGCGTTCAGTGCTAGCAGCGCTTTTAAACAGGCGGTTCTGGTTCTGGTTGCTCTCAGAGGAATGTTAGATCTTGGCTACATGAAGGTCATGACCCCATAGTGACCCATAGGGGCATCGTGCTAAAACTACTGAGGTGTCAGGCTAATCATCAAATGCTTTTTTAAGTCTTTTGCAGAATATTTTAAGTCTATATTAAAACAGACTCCCCTCAGTTTTGTCTTCGTGACCAGAATAGTAACATTTATTGAACCTCAACAGCTGAGCTTCTAGTATTTGCCCATTTTAATAACCAAGGTGTGATCGAGAGGGAAAATATGATTACATCAACAGCTAACAGAGAACACCTCCAAACCTTACCTAATTCATCCCCAGAGGAGAAGATGGCAGAGCCCAGGCGAGAGTTATAGTGGGAGTTGGCGAAGGCGGTGAAGTTGTTCTGCAAGCGGCGGTGTCGGATGTAGAGCGCCACCAAGCCGCCGCCTACCACCACCAACAGCAGGAAGAGGACGGGAACCACCACTGACGCCATATCCCTGGAGTGGCTCTCAGCGCGGGACGCATCGCTGCTGCCTGAGCGGGTGGACAGAGAAGAGGAACAGGAGGAAGTTTGTCTTCTAAAGACGGAATGGCGTGGGTTAACCTGCGTGGGTTAACCTGCGTGGGTTAACCTGCCTGGGTTAACCAGGACCTACCTGTCTGAGGGTTATAAAGCAGGAGTGCGGGCTCCCCACACAGCTGGCCCCCCAGCAGGCAGCTGGCCTGCACTGAGAAGGTGTAGTTGTGTCCCGCCAGCAGGCTGTTGATGCGGAAGTAGGTCTCTGTCGTGTTTCCCAGGTACGACGTCTGGTTGGTCTCGCTGTCAGACATCCGCACTTCATATCCCTGCGAACAGCCGGGATGGAGGGAAAGGAAAAGAGGAGAAAGGAAACACTCAGACCCTCTACTTCTACAGACTCCAGTGTTCCAGATCAGGGTTCCACTGAACAGAGCATCTTCTTTAGATCAGCAGCGGCTCTGGTGATTAAACTCTACAACGACTGAATTAAATCTAAATATGTCATTTTTTTCATAAAATAAGGGATTTTTTTCTTGAATTGAAGAGGTAAGTGAGACGCTTTGCCAATGGAACAAGACAATTTACATTTAAATTAGAAAAAACATTAGCATTTTCTGCTTAAAGTGCATATTATCGTATTTTAAGAGTAAAAATACTCATTCCATTGATAATCTCATTGACCTACTCAAATTAAGGGTAAATACACTTCATTTAGGATTATTTTGTTTTTGCAGTGTAGGCAAACACTGCAAAATATTTGAATCTAAAGAAGACATTTTTTCTTAAAACAATGTCATCGTTTTCTTGAATTGAGGAGAGAAGTGAAAACAAGACAATTTACATTTAAAATAAGAAAAAAACAATTGCAGTACTTCAAGAGCATGTAATCTAATTATCTTATTTTAAGAGTAAAAACTAAAGTTGTTGGTTCTCACCCTGCTCTCGTTGAAGCCCTTCTCCCGGACGGCCAGGCTCTTCCAGAACAGGAAGATGTGGTCGTTTTCTGTCAGAATCTTCAAGGCTTCAGGAGCAGAAAGTGGAACTGAAAACGAGAGGAAAGTATTTTAGGGCTGCAGTGAAGGATTTTATTGAATGAATCAAATTATAATCAGACAGGAAAATGTGCAGAATTAGAACCAGTTGACGTAAAAAGCCTCTGATGAGTTCTGGATGGACACATTAATGGCATAAGTTCAAACATTTAAATGTAGATTAAAAAAGGAATTAAATGTAGATGTGTTTTTACAGATTTACAGTTTAATATCTGCTCCGAGCGACTGGCATCTCCTGCACTGCAAAAAACGTGAATCTAAGTAAGTCATTTTTTTCTTAAAATAAAAGCATTTAGTCTTGAATTAAGGATGTTGCCAATGGAACAAAACAATTTACATTTAAAATAAGAAAAAAAACTATTGCATTGTCTTATTTCAAGTAGGGGTGGGCGAATATATCGGATAAACTCCATGTATCTCGAGTTTCCCCAGCGCACGATAGTTAGAATTTGCATGAAATCTTGAAATCAGGGATGCCTGCTTTAACCCCTTAAACCTGGCGGGCCCGGTACCGGGCCCAGCTCACACCAGCTGATGTTTATTTATAAAAAATTGCCAAAACACAGTCACATGGTGTTTTGTCCTTTAAAATCGGGCTTTAAAATCTCTAAAAGATGTTTCAAAATTAGTTTTTCACAAATAAATGTTGTTTCATAGTTGTGTAAACTAATAAAATGGGATTTAAAATTCCACCTGAAATGTGTGACTCTGCGGGAGTAATGCAACAGCAGGTATTCATTTTTAGCCCCGCCCCCTAATGGCCGCCATCATTTGCTTGAGTTATAGTCAAGATGTGGATCTATAAAGTCTGAGGGTTCATCCAGAGTTTCAAATGGTTCTTCATGGTGTTTTGCAGAGTTTATTTTAGGAAACATTTTGGCGCGGCTCAATATTTTTCATTTTTTTCTTAGTCGTCTGCATCTATTTCACTGAGTTTTATTTTTCCCGCACACTTTGAACACATCATAAACCCCTCCTTTAAACAGGATTATTTTCTCGCACACTACAGCAACCGGCAAAGTAAAGATGGCGGCAGCAGTTGCGTCAACTGAGCGATATACGGCAGCGGTTTGGATTTCACGCCGAGGACGTCGAACAAAAGGCGCTAATTTGTAAGACGTGCCGCTAACCATTGCTGCAAAAGGAAGCAGTACAGATTTATTCCAGCACCTAAAAAGTCATCAGCTCCTAAATGAAGAATGTTATAAACTCTGCATGTCAGCGTCTCTCTGCTCGCCAATTAAAACATTCAATCAATCAGCTGTGAAGCCGATGGCGTTGGCCGCGAGTTTGAAAAATCGATCCCATATGAGAGAAACAGGAAGAGATGGAGGGAAATCACAGATGATATTAATGATTTTATTTAAATATTTTTTAGATGCTCTAATATCTGTGATGAGATGGTCAGAGGTTTTGCAGGTGTTTTCTAAACTTGGCAATGTTCTCAAATTCATAACTTTTTGTGTTTCTCTAAAATTCCCAGCAGGTAAAGATCAATGTTAATACAGTAGATGCTCTGATAATGCTTTAATTTCTGGACAGTATTTCCACTTTTGTTTTGAAATGTTATTTTTTAATTATGCACAAAAGAGCCTTTTTTATTTTGATTTATTTAGTATTGTGTGTTTTTGCTTTGTTTCCTGTTTGGTTGCTGGGATCTTGTTAACGGTTTAACCTCTTAAAATCCACCTCATTTTGGGTAAATCCTCGCCTATTCTGCAAACCCAAATGGAAAAGCAAATAACTTTAACATGTGCAATACATTATTTGAAAGCTAACACCCTCTAGTTTCTTAATATATAAATTACAATTGGCTGAATTGGTGACTAGAACCCAGACCAACCTGCATCAGTTCAAACCTGAATCAAAGTTGTTGTTTTTTATTCTCGGAAATGAAAGGTTAGAAATGATGGGTCTTAAAACCCACCTGGCGACGTGGTGGGTTTTAAGAGGTTAATTCTGACACCCAAAGACATCAAACGGCAGTAAAGCTTTGATCTGGTTAAAATTAAATAAAATTAAATTAAATTTGAAACCAAAAGTTTGAATGATTGTATCAGTGCAATGTTATGCTCTCTATTGTTTTTGAAGGTATATTGTGATCACAAATATATCATGGTATTAGATTTTCTTCACATCTCCAAACCCTCGTTTCTTCACTTCCTACTCAAATGATTAATCAGAGACTAAATTAGTTGATTCATATTTTAATCATCGATTAAAATGATGTTACGGTTAAATTGGACGATCCATTAACTATATTTGGGTCTATTCTGATCTCAGCCCACATCTTGTTCAGCGTCAATCGATTTCCTTCCAGCTTTTATCCCCACATCGATCTGCAGTGTTGTTTAAAATATTATTTTTCCTCCATTCTGACAGGAAACAACATCTGTTCTTATGTTCACATTTTTAGCATTCAATCAGCTTCTGGTTTATTTTAATCTAAACTTTGTTCACTTTTCTGGGCTTTTCACTTTGTTTCCTTACTTCTAGTGTGTGTGTGTGTGTGTGTACTTGTCTAGCCCTCAGAGTGAGGACCATTTTTCCAATTTAACCATCAGATTGTTCCAAAGTGAGGACATTTTGCCGGTAATTCTGTTAATTGTTAGGTTTAGGACTAAGGTGTGAATTAGGTTAGGATGAGGTATGAATTGGTAATGGTTAGGTTTAGGGTTCGAGCATAGAAAGGGTTGAAAATGACTGAAAAGCACATGGTCCTCACTACATATAGCAGAGCAGGTGTGGGGTGTGAGTGTGTGTGTTGCAGACCTGTGTTCAGGTTGAAGCTGGCCTCCTTGGTCATGTTGCGCAGGCGGACGGAGACGCTGTACCTTCCTCCGGGCTCCAGCCCTTTCAGCAGGTACTCCACCGTGTTGTTCCTGGAGGTCAGCTTATAGTCCCGCTCCGCCTTACGGATCACGTCCTTCACGTGGATCACATACGTCTGGGAGAATGGAAGGAACACAGACCATGACGTCACAGCAGGCAGGTCGTTAACATTAAACCTGGGACGGCGATCCTCCCACAGAAGGAGCTGAGCGTCTGCGTACCAGAGGAGCGTCCGGCGTGTCGTAGGGCGGCTGCCACTTCAGCGTGGCCTGCGTTTTGTCCACGCGCACGCGGTGCAGGTTGCGGGGCGGGAGCCGCTCGTCGGGAATCATTTTGACCACGGCGTATTCAGAGGGAGGACCCAGGAAAGGAGAGACGACCCGAGCCTTGGGGAAGACGGCAGAGGTCAGCGATTTAGGATTCACAGGATTAAAACATTCTGCTGGTTGCTGGGAAAGAACCGGATCTGTCTGGTCCTCATCTGGACTGGGAGACTGACGGTATCCCATAATCCCCTGCTCTGTCTCCACCATCCGTAGAACTATGGCTTCTAATAAATTATAACTAATACAGAATATTTCCTTCAGCTCCATGTGGAAATTTATAACGGCAGTTTAGCTCAGAATGATTATATTTACATTAAATCTTCATTAGAACAAATATTTTATATTAAATATTTGTAAGTTCTAATTATAAATGAATACCTAAACTGACTTTAATCTAAGTTTAAACTAAAATCCTTTTTTATCATTCTTGCTTTAATGATCTTTTTGGAAACACAGGAAGGAGCAATCAGCTAAGTGAGCTTAGTGCTTGGAAAAAATCTTTCATTCATTTAGAGACAGCATGAAAAGTCAGCTGAGTACAAAACAGAGAGGAAAACAAGAAGAAAAGGGACAAGAAGAGAGGGACACAACCTAGAACAGATAATGGATGTCTATTCTATTAACATTTCTCTATCTGGAGAATGGCTCTGTTTTATGTGTTGTCTTCTCAATTCAGAGGGCCCCCTGCCTGTCTTTGCCTAGGGCCCCACATTTCCTAAATAAGCCCCCATGTCTAGTAGCTCCAATTGATTTTGCTTGTTTTTTTATTATTATTATTATTATTTATTTCGAACATGCAAGAGAAAAACAAAAAAACAATGTTTAAAAACATTGCAGAGAAAACCAACAAACAAGGTCCCCTTCTTTCCTGAGTTAATTTACCTCTATTACATGTGTGAAAAGGAGCAGGAAGAAGTAAAACTTGTGCTCCTTCCCCTTTAATTCTTGTATTTCTTCAATTTACAATATTTATAATTATGCTGCTATATATATCCATATAAATAAATACCTACCTACACATATACATACATAAATATGTATACACATATACCTTCAAACATATATATAAACTTTCTGCAATGCTTCTCTAAACCTTTTGAAAATAATTTCTTTGTACATTTTTTTGAAAAGGAATATGTTTGGGCATTGCTTTAGTTTCTCATTTAGTTTGTTCCACAATTTAACTCCACAAATTGATAAACATAATCTTTTTCTTGTTGTTCTACATCTATTAGTCTTAAAATTTCCCTTTAAATCGTACCCTCCCTCCCTTTTGTATATTCCCAGGCAATAGGCTATGTCTTACTTTGAACATAAATACTGCAATTTGGTATTCTATTAAATCATGGTATTTTAGTAATTTAGATTTTAGAAATAATGCGTTTATATGATCCCGAAGTCCGGGATCCCGAAGTTGTAAAGCGGGGAGAATGGCGCTAGGCTTACCGCACCGTGACGTCACTGCTGGAAGATGGCAGGAGGGAGGGGCTACTATATTTGGGCAAAAATGGCCGCTCCCAGACTCAGTGATCGCAACGAAAATGATTGTTTTTATTTTTTACTGATTAACACTAAATTCATTAAATCACTGCGAACGTGTTAGTTATTATCCATTGGTTATTCCTTGCTGACCAGACTTCTCCTTTAACAACCTGCTTTGCCAGTGTGGGTGGAGCTATCAGAGGATTCTCCCGTTACGTCCTCCTAGTAAATATATTCTTGGTCATTTTTGATGGATTTATGCCGACAGCTCTGCAGGAGCAGAGATCCCCGTTTGGATGCAGGAACCGTCTCCTTGGCAGCTCCCTGCTCATCCTCCGATTGGCCGCCATGGCATGTCGACATTTTTCTCAAGGCTCAGATGATTTGGACGCATTTGATGAACGTCCCGGCCGATGCTGAAAAGGCGTTCAGCTGGAACGCAGCATTAGAGTTTGCAGACGGACTCACCAGGAAGAGAAACTGCTCATCGCTGTCCACCGTCACCGTGAGGCTGGGGGACGTGCTTCGGACCTGATGGGGACTGCGATACAGATCCAGGAAGGAGGTGGCATAAAAAACACTGTACACCTGCACACATGGTGGGAAAAAAACAGTTTCAGCCATATTCAGCTGCTTCCACTGATGCTGTCTAATAAACAAACATTTAAAAATAGTTCTTCTAAGATAAATATTTGTCATAGTAATGTTTTAAACAGGCAGAGATGAGAATAATGTAGCTCTGATCCCGAATTAAGCCTGAATTAAATGTTTTCAGCCTAATCAGATGATGAAGGGCAAACTCTTCCTCATCCTCTCAGACTGAAACAGGTCAGATTATCCGTCTCCAATGGATAAAAGGTCTTCTTCATGATGGTGGTGGCAGTTTATGGGTCTCTACCGATAATTAAAGCTACAGACGCTCCTCTGCAGCCACCAAGCAGGACCTATTGTTACCATGGAGACACCAGGATCTGCTGAAGTGGCCCTTAATGGCGGGGAACAGAGGGGGGCCGAGCACACAGCCCTGGGGTGGGAGTTATGGACTGACCTCTGCTCCATTAGTTACAAAGAACAGTTTTTGTAAATGCAAATTAAAAAATGAAATTTGAAAATCTTCTGCACCAAAAACAGGTTTTTAAAGGAACATTTTCTCAGATTTTATTTTTCACTGTAGTCGCTGCTACGACGGACAGAGGTTAGCAAAGCTGTGCTAACCACAGCGATGGCCGGTATGGCTACCAGATCTGATCGGGTCCTGCTTCATGCTAGTGGCGTTACGCTACCTGATTGGCTGAACGTTGCCACATGATGTAAAACATGGTGGTTGCTCAGACGACAATAATAACATCACGCAGCGTCAGTGTGGCGAGTCGGGAGCTTCTGTAGCGTTAGCGCGTCTAATGACCGATAAAGTTTTATGTGAGCGAAAACAAAACTAAAAAAAAATGTTTCTTGTGAACAAAGTAACTGTTAGACCAGGATATGAAGAGCTGGGTAGCGCTGTGGCTAGCTGTGCTCAGTAGCTAACAGGTTAGCCTCTTTTAGCACGGTCAGTTAGCCATATTAAGCTACACTACTTTTGAATTCATGTCAACAAAAACCGTTCATTTCCTCCAAGTAGAATAACTGTTTAATTTGTCTAAAATCTGTATGAAAGTTATTTTTAATATGTTCCATTTTGTCCTCCCCTTCCCTCAGTTCTTAAACAGAAGAAAAATAAGCTGAGACTCTTTTTGTCACCTTTTTAATGTTGTAGGGAAGCGGCTGTTCCAACCGTTGCATTTCCGAATTCTCCCGAGTAGTACACGACTTTACACGGGTGAATAAAGTGAATGTGATTGGTCGATTATCGAGGGGGCGGTATTGTTTTGGTGGAAGGTTTGCAAACAAGTTTGATTGTAACCTTTTTGTCGGAAGCATCGTGCTAACAGTTAGCATCTTAGTGCTAGCAGGTTCCCAATGGGAAATTCCATTGGGACCAAGTAGCACTAAATTGGTGACTTAGAAACGACGCTGTCAAGGAACGCTATGGACAGCGGAAACATGCAAGAGGAGGAGAGTTTAGTGTCGGAGGTCGTGGATGAGTCTCCTCCGTCATCCATTTTTTATTTAGAGGAGGAAAGCGGGGACGAAGATGTTGTGGAAGAGGACGCCAGGGCGGCAGAAGCTTGGTTTGGTGTAGAAGGCTTCCAGCCGTACATGTTTGAGCCCTTGCCTCGCAACGCTGCCAGTTCTGTTAGCTCTACGCCTGCCGAAGACACAGACGTCCATCCCCGTAAACACTGGGACGCAACTCAATGGGAAAGGAAAGGATACTGATTTCAACCGTAAAACATGAAATTATAAATTTTAAAGAAAATATAGAAATAAAATCTAAGAAAGTTGCTTTTATCATTTATAATTTTTTTGATTGTTAATTCTGGTCTGTAATTCGGCTCCATACGTCCGTCCCTCATCATTGATCACTGTGTCGCCGCCTTTACCAAGGAAGCGGCGCTGCTGCCGCTGTTGATGCTACACTCCACCGCCGTCTGGTTGAGAGCCTTGGCTTTGAGGAAGGGGCGCTCCGGCTGGGTGCCTGCGGTCTGGTAGTGGGACAGCGCGGTGGGGCTGTCTCCTACGCTGGTGTGAGCCCACACAGACACCTCGTACACCGTCCCCGCTGTCAGGTTTGTGGCTGCGGACGACAGAAACACTCAGACTTACTTCACAAACATTTATTAACTTCCCTGGTGAGGATGTGTGATAATATTCCTTTAATTTCCCAAAAAGTTAATATCAATCCACTGGACTTTGTTTCCAAGTTTGAAGACATTTCTCTTCCATCCAGGAAGATTTTTCAATTCAAAATGTCAGAAATAGCGTTTAGTTCCAGGTTTTATCCAGCAGCCCAACAAAGCCTGGTTTTACTTTAGAAAACATGCAAATAGAAACGGATGAACGGGTCCCCCCCCTTTGGAATGGGGGTCGTTTGGCTTCTTTGATAGCCTGCAATGCCCCATACCTGTCTATGTCTCTGAAAGTTTTTTTTTTTAAAGGTTTGCTTTTTAACTTAAAAGAAAGTACCAGTCTGGATTCAGTGATTTTGAGTTTTGAATTAATTGAGGGTTAGAAAAAATGTTTTTCTTTCCTTTTTTTAATTTTAATTTTTAAAGCTCAGTCGAACTTCACAAACATAATTAGGACGGTAATCTCACAGGTCAAAGGTTAATGACTCCACCACAAAAAAGGGGAATAAGAAACATATCTGACAAATGCATTATTCTAAATATCCAGCTGAATATCTGAGACATGCTCCGCTGTCCTCCACCCTTATGAGTTATGAGGTCAATATTAAAATAAAGAAATCCTTTAGAACCTAATATTAATTTAAATTATTGCTTAAAACCAGACATGATGTTGTTTGTTTTATATTTAACAAACATCAAAGTCGTTACTGATCAGGCTTCTGCGTCAGATTGTAGTATCTCCAATATTAAAAAGTTAAATCAGTTAAATTTCTTCTGCTACAGAAGAAATGAGGCCATTAATGGAACGATGATTTGCTCCCAGCAAACAATAGAAGGATTCTTTAACAGCATTTCTACCAAAAGAAACAACTGCAGGATTTCTTAATCTGATTTCTTGTTTTAATTCGATTTGATTGGGTACGTAAACCAGCCGTGAGCCGCAGTCCTACATTCTCTGCTCTTTTTAGAGAAAAGATCCCAAACAGATCTGGAGGTTCTGAGTTTTGGCGACGCTGAGAAGCTGCAGGCTTTTCTTTTTCTCCTCAGACAATCTTTCAGAACAATTTCTCCAGCATTAAAAGATGAAATCCCATCCAGCAGGTTTTACCTTGAAACTGTCCCTGTGTGACGTTGTACTGATGACTCTCCTTCACGTGAGAGTCAAACTGCCAGAAGAGAACCACCATGAAATACTGCAGCTGGAGGAGAGAAACAGAATGAAAGACCAACCAGAACGAGGAAGGATGGCTGCGTCCCGACTGGAGGGGAAGCTCTTACCTCAGAGCGGGAGCTCAGGCTGAAGGACAGAGAGATGGAGCTGGAGGAGATGTTGGTGGCTTTGACTGAGGGAGGAGGCAGAGCTGCAGCACAGAGAGGAGGAAGCATTACCCATCTGCTTTATGCACAGCTTACTGCTTCATCTTTATCTTAATGAAAAAATAAATCTAAGTCTAATCTTTACCTCTAGTTTTATCAGAGGAACGAGCATTACGAGGTGAAAAATGGATCCAAGCTGGGAGGTAATTAGGTAAATATTCTGGTGCAACATTTCCAGAAAAAAACAAAAAAACAAACTAGATTTCCATGATATTTAGATCCTGCTTTAGGATCCAGGTTGTGGGAAAACAGAGCAGGTTTCCTCTCTGCTCCGACTGCATGCTGGCGAGTTAGGAGGAGAAGGCTGCCTGTGAGACGGCGCTGAGGGAAGCAGAGAGAGGGTCACAGCCGCTCTCCATCGATTACTGCTAAACTCAACGGAAAAGGGAAAAGTCTACACTTTTTTCTATAATCCAGGGTTATTATTATTATTTTTACAGCTTTCTCTCTGCTGCTGAGGCTTTAGCGAGCCTTGGTGAACTGAGGACAGTTCAAATTTTCATATCCGTGAGCAAATCTAGAGCTAAATGTGATGAAACGTGTCACTGCCATCTAAAAACACTGGAGACTTTTGAAATCTAACTTGACAAACTTGAAATGAACATGGGGGAAGCAGACATGTACGTCAAAGTGCTGCTAAGCAACATGCATTTTCAGCTTAGCAGCGACTTTTTTAAGGATTAGTGCTGAAATGCAGCGGTGAGACCCCTGTAGTCTCTGCTAGACGAGTCTGAAAGTCTCCAAAGATGGCGACGAAGTCAGCATCACTGGACTGTGGTCTCCAGTTCTCCTTCACTAACGAGAGCAGAGCACCGGAGCCACCAGTTAGCTTCATCCACTAGCTGCATACACAGCGCTGTTGGTTTTATAACTTCATGATATTTCAGTATATCTTAAACTCTGATCATGATTAGAATAAGTGTGCAACCTTTAACATTGTTATTTAACCACTGTGAAGGAAACCTGCATGACAACATTTAAAGCCTTAAATGGCCAAGCTCCATCTTATATCAGAGATCTGATTGTTCCTTATGTTCCTAACAGAGCACTTCGCTCTCAATCTGCAGGTTTACTAGTGGTTCCTAGAATTTCTGAAAGTAGAATGGGAGGCAGATCTTTTAGTTCTCAGGCTCCTCTCCTGTGGAACCAACTACCAGTTTTAGTCCGTGAGGCAGACACCCTGTCTACTTTTAAGGCTAGGCTTAAAACTTTCCTTTTTGATAAAGCTTCTAGTTAGAGTGGCTCAGGTTATCCTGATCTATCTCTATAGTTCTGCTGCTATAGGCTTAGACTGCTGGAGGACATAGGGACCCCTTTTTCATCATTCTGCTTCATTCTATCTCTATTCTCCCACTCTGCAGAATCTGTTAGTTCAATCTCTAACGTTCTGCTCTCTCTGCTTTTTCTCATAGTAGCTTCATCTGGTCTGTTCCTGTTTGGCTGTGACTCCATCCTGGAGAGAAATATCAGCTGTGCTGCTGCCATCAACACCTTTGTTTCTAGATGTTGGAGCTTGGCCTGTTTTCCAGTGTAGTCCTGTTTCTCTGACTGTGACTAACTGGATGTGCTCTCTTCATCCTCTGACATGGGAGCTGGCTCGGAGCTCGTCTGCCTGGCTGTGTGTTTCCTGGACGGGGCCGCCTGTGGAGCTGGTTGACAGTTGCCTTTTGTATCTATGCTTCTTTTTCTGGCCGCTCACACTGAGCCTGGTTCTGCTGGAGGTTTTTTCACGTTAAAAGGGAGTTCTTCCTCTCCACTGTCGCTACAAGCATGCTTAGTGTGAGGGATTGCTGAAGAGTCAATGAGTCGATGCAATCAGCTGGTTTTCCTTAGATAGAAAACTTTGAATCAATCTGACTGGATGATCTGGTGAACTGGAAAGTGACCTGAGATGACATGATGTGAATTGGAGCTATAGAAATAAACTGAATAGAATTGAAGCAGGCTGGAAAAAGGAAACATGAAGCCTTTAAAGACAATAGCTGAGCCTCGTTTCCATCAACCATCTGGAAATGTTGGGTTTACATTTTTCAGGCCTACAGTCAAACATGCAGCAGTGACTAAAACATTAAGATCATTGAGACAGAAGAAGAATCTAGAAGAGCGTCTAAAACTCTGCAGAGCTAAAAGGATAAGATCTGTGTTTAAGATGTAATAATGAGAAAGATGGACGGGGAAATATCTGAGCCACTAGATGGCAGCGTTACACGGTGAGCCAATGCTGTCGTACCTTTCTGGGGGATGATGGATTTAATGTCCGTCCAGTTTCCAACACCTCGACTGGTCACTGCAGCCACCTGGAAAACATTTCTGAATGCATAACCAGCGAAGGGATAAAATAAAAAAAGGCCAAGATGGCGGGAGGGTTTTCCTCACCCTGAATCTGTACAGGATGTCCGGCTGCAGCTCCTTCACCTCGGTTCCAGCTGAGCTGCATCTCTGAGACGTCCAGTCAGGAAGGCCGTCCTGGCTGTACTCCACCTGCCCACACCCACATAAAGCTATGACCAACCAGTCTGATCAGCTTCTGGTTTATCAATCCTGCTTAGATTTTACTGCTTTGATGCATAAAGAAGAAAGAAAATATTTTTTTAATTTAATGTTTAAGTCCAAACTTTGAATTTCATCAAAGAATCAGCAGCAACTTTACAAAGTTACACATTAGTAAAAACGGGAATAAGCAGCTTAAAGTCCTGCCCTGTTAGAAAGGACCTACTGTAGCAACATCCTATGTTTACGCTAAAATCCATCAGTTCATGTCAGTCATTTTTTCTTAAAGATCAGGCTAACTGCTGTTTGGCTGTCACACCTTGCTGATTTAGCCAGCATAAGCCTGACGTCCCAGAATCTCCTAAAACGCTGGAATACGCTGCACTTTCTATGGATCTTTTCTATTCTGGTCGTAAACATAGAGTATTCATAATGAGTCCAGAACTTCTGTCCAACAACAGCCTAACTTCTGCATAACGCACGGCAGCTTAATGCCCAGGAAATGATGCACAAGCATCAGTTAAAGCTGCTCCCCTATGGTGCATCACTGCTCCAAAACAAAAAGAATAAAGAATAAAGAAAAAGAAAAAGAAGGTTTTTGGTGTCAGCAGATTGAGCGTCATGTCTGCTAGGAAGTGTGTTGGTGGTGGGCGTGAACGCAGGGAGGATCCATCACTCACCTTCTGGCTCACCCTATGATGGGGATGAAGTCTGGAGGAGAACTGACGGTTTCCTCCTGTAAACCTAACCTGACTCCGCCGGATGGATTTGCTCCTCATATCCATCTGGAAACCTTCCGTTGAAGTAATTTAGGGAAGGGGCGAAAATACTGGTTAGCTGATTGGCCTATGTTGGTGATAGACGGGCCAAATAAACCAATCAGATCAACGAAGCATATGACGTACTAACAGAGCGACGACGAAGAGGAGCCAATTGATAGATCAAACTCTTGCCGAAACCAGTCGGGAGAAGAGCAAAAACATCTTTTCCTCTGAGAAAAGCCTCCAGAGCAGTGTTTTGCTCTTCTTTCAGTGAAGAAATACTCTGTAATTCCCATAAAACTTGCTCGATAGTAACGCTAACGCTAGTTTCATCGGCTGAAGCCGCCATGTTCTTTAGACTGAACTGTCGCGCTTCTCGTTGCGTCACGCCTCAACCCGCCTCAAAGCCAACGCTGATTGGACGTTCGTTTGGTGAACGGCTCCAAATTTTCTTTAACGGAGAGTCTCCAGACTGATCTGCGAGTGAAACCTTGAAAGCTCGCGAGATCAGGATGGTCTCACGAGGCTCCTGTGAACCCCCTTTATACCAAAACGCTGCCAATACGCCATTATACAGTAGCTGGAAGTTAGAAACAAGTTCAGCGCTCGTCTGGAACACGTCAGATATGCTGATATGCGTTGGAGAGAAGTTCTGGATAAGTTACTCAGAAGTTACTCAGAGGTTTAGGATCAGCTAGACGCCACGACTGATGAGGAACTGACACTGAACGGATGTCAGCCATCAGATAACTGACCTGGAACTGATGGCCCACGGATGGCGGACGCTGGCGTACGTTAAAAATGTATTCGCCGCATATCGACGTACTCCAGCTTGCTCCTAAGTTATACAAAACCCGTTACTTATCCAACATATGCCAGCGTTTTTGTCCAGATTTTTCGGACGTCAGGCAGACGCTGGTCTAAATCGTTAAAGTGTGACAGCGGCTTTAGCCTGTAGGGCTGAACGATTTATTCAAAAATAAAAATTGCAATGAATTTTAACCAAAATTGCGATTTCATTGCGATTTAAAACCAAGCACATATGTGTAGATGTTTCAATTGGTGGTTTCAGTTTTTTATGACCTTGTTACAGGACTTTACTGTAAACTTTGTGGGAAAAAAGTTTCTACTTCCTGCAACTGTCTCTTCCATTGTGTGTTTTGGTAAAACAATTTGAGGCATATTACTGCCACCTAAAGGCTGCAGGGAGAAATTGACCTAATTTATCTTAATCTTGATAAATGTAAGGTGACTAAAATTGAGTAATTCTGCGATTTGATAATTGCGATTATATGCAATTAACTGCCCTATTAGCCAGACCAGCTGCTATCAGTGAATCTCACTGGGCCGCTTTTTACAGTTGCCTTTTGTATCTATGCTTCTTTTTCTATGTCTGCTTCTGTCTCCTTGAACCCCAGTGGACTGAGCCTGGTTCTGCTGGAGGTTTCTTCCTGTTCAAAGGGAGTTTTTCCTCTCCACTGTCGCTACAAGCATGCTTAGTGTGAGGGATTGCTGAAGAGTCAATGAGTCGATGCAATCAGCTGGTTTTCCTTAGATAGAAAACTTTGAATCAATCTGACTGGATGATCTGGTGAACTGGAAAGTGACCTGAGATGACATGATGTGAATTGGAGCTATAGAAATAAACTGAATAGAATACGGAGCAGTTGGCTGCCAGCAGCCACTTCCTGGTTTGGGACTGATTAGACTGAGCTGAGAAATGACTTCTGCTGAAGGTTTCCTCTGTGAAACGACCTGCAAAAACTGCTGATGATGCAGGATGGGATCTAAAAACCATAGATCTATGACAGCTTTGCTTTAATGGCCCTCTCTCCCTGTGCTCAGAAGTTTGTTTCTTTGTCTGACAGCTGCACACAAACAGCCATCTTTAACCGTTTCTTCCTCAGATTCATTTTTTAAAGGGGTTAACAGTTCTTCTATAAGCTTCTATAAAGTATCTATCAGATCAAGGACAACTGCACTTGATCTTGGCCACAAGATGGCTGCCAGGGTGCAGACACACAGTAAGGCAGGTCCTGTGTTTTTGCCAAAAAAAGACTCCAAAACCATCAAATTTCCTTGGATTGTGCCATCAACATGTGTATTTTTCATTGCTACCTTGTTGTAAATTGTTACCTTTTCTGGAGTTTAACGGGCCCTCGTAAAATGGAAAACTCAACTCCATACGCAGTAAAGAGGAATCAATACCTCTTGTTCACAAGATTTCTCAATTCTGGATATGCCAGGCCACCCCCAGGTAAACTTGATCGTTCACTTACAACTAGATCATCCCTGGGGGCTTTGGAACTTGTGCTAATCTTACTTTTAGCTGGTGATATTGAAATAAATCCTGGACCGGCTAGGAGCACATGCCATGTTGGACTACAGTTAGCAGGCCCAACCCCTGAGCTAACCAGGCTACAATTACAGCTACCCTGGTTCCTATCTCAGCTGCCTGGGTTACAACTTCAGCTAGTTGGGCATCCACCACCTGGGCTGCAGCTAACCAGGCCTCCATCTCCTGGGCTACGGCTAACCGGGCCTCCACCACCTGGGCTACGGCTAACCGGGCTTCCACCACCTGGGCTACAGTTAACCAGGCTTCCACCACCTGGACTACAGCTAGCCGGGCCTCCACCACCTGGGCTACAGCTAACTGGGCCTCCACCACCTTGGATACAGCTAACCGGGCCTCTACCACCTGGGCTACAGCTAACCGGACCTCTACCACCTGGACTACAGCTAGCCGGGCCTCCACCACCTGGGCTACAGCTAACCGGGCCTCTACCACCTGGGCTACAGTTAACTGGGCCTCCACCACCTGGGCCACAGCAAACAGGGCCTCCACCACCTGGGCCACAGCTAACCGGGCCTCCACCACCTGGGCCACGGCTAACCGGGCCTCCACCACCTGGGCTACGGCTAACCGGGACTCCACCACCTGGACCACAGCTAGCCGGGCCTCCACCACCTGGGCAACAGCTAGCTGGGCCTCCACCACCTGGGCAACAGCTAGCCGGGCCTCCACCACCTGGGCCACAGCTAGCCGGGCCTCCACCACCTGGGCCACAGCTAGCCGGGCCTCCACCACCTGGGCCACAGCTAGCCGGGCCTCCACCACCTGGGCCACAGCTAGCCGGGCCTCCACCACCTGGGCCACAGCTAGCCGGGCCTCCACTACAAAAGAAGGAGAGAAATCTTGTTTTCAAAAAACATCGGACATCTAAGATTTTCCATACGCTTAACCAGGCAAAAACAATCTGGGATCCGCAGGCCAAACCAAAAGGCTTGTTAGGCGGACACTTGAATATACGGAGTATGGCATCTAAAAATGAAGAGCTTCAACATCTACTCTGCAACTCTAACATCGACTTTCTGGGGCTCTCTGAAACCTGGTTATCAGACAACTCTCCAGATTCAGTGGTAACTATGCCAGAGTATAATGTTTATAGGAATGACAGGGCACATGGGAGGGGTGGAGGTGTTCTTCTCTATGTTAAAAGCGCTTTAAAATGTAGACGGATATACTGGCCAGAAGAAATCCAGCTCGAGTATGTTGGTGTAGAAATTTCACTCTCACCTGAAATGTCTTTTATTGTAATTTGCTTGTATCCTAAACCATCTGCTAGATTGGATTTTTATGACAACTTAAAACTTCTTCTTAATCATTGTGATTTAAATAAAGAAATTATAATTATTGGAGATTTTAATGTAAACTGGAATGATAAGAAAGCTAGAAAGAACCTGAAACAAGTCACTGAACATTTTAATTTTAAACAGTTAATAGAACAACCTACTCGAATAACTTCACACTCCAAAACTTTGATAGACTTGCTTCTTGTAAATAAACCTGGAAGAATTATCAAAACCTTTAATTATGTAACTGGGTTGTCTGACCATAATGCCATCTTCTTCTCAAGAAAACTTACAAAAAAACGTTTTAATGATTCATATAGGCCAAGTGCAAAAGTCTCACCCAAAACAATCATTCCCAAAAAATTACTACCAAATCTAGTGGAAGCTCTGCAAAGCTGTGATTGGAACGAAATCACTCAAAGTAAAGATGTTGAAAATAGCAGCTGTCTATTTCACAAGAAAATTAAGGAAGTAATGTTAAACTTTACCAAAAGGGGAAGCCACAACAAAAGAAAGAGAAATCTATTACCATGGATGAATGAAGAATGTAAGAAATGGATGAGAGACAGAGATGAGCAACTAAAAAAATATATGAAATCCCATCTCATCACAGACAGGCATAAATTTACCTCACTAAGAAATAAGGTTACTCAAATTATGCGAAAGGCTAAAGCAACATTTTTCATGAACATAATTTCTGAAGCAAATGGAAATTCCAAAAAGATCTGGCAAAGTTTAAATAAATTAATAGGGAAGGATAAAAAAGCAAAACAAGAAATTGAGTTGAAAATTAACAATATTGCTGTGACTGATCCAGATCTATTGACAAATGAATTGAATAATTATTTTATAAATTCTGTGAGAGAAATAAGCAAATTATTTCCATCTCCTGATCTTAAACCAAGGTCCATTGATCTCACACAGCCTGTTTTTAATTTACGCGAAATAACAGGGCCGGAAGTCTCCAAAATTATTAGTTCACTAAAAAATTCGAAAGCTAAAGACATTCATGGACTAGACACTCATCTCCTAAAATTATGCAAAGAGTCCCTTATTGCTCCAATAACTCACATGGTTAATTTATCACTTAAACAGAGAATTGTCCCATCATCCTGGAAACTGGCCACAGTCACCCCAATCTTTAAATCTGGTGACAGTTCAAATGTATCCAATTATCGACCAATCTGTATACTTCCAGTTGTTTCCAAGGTTGTTGAGAGATGGGTAGCAAATATTATAAATGAACATTTAAATAATAGTCCCTTTAAACTACATGCAATGCAATTTGGCTTCAGAGCAAACCACTCCACTGAATCAGCAAACAGCTTTTTTATAGAAAAGGTGAAAAGTCAATTGGATATATACCCCTGTGTTGGTGCAGTGTTCCTTGACCTTAAAAAGGCTTTCGACACTGTCAACCATGAACTTCTTCTAACAAAATTGTCAGACTTCAATTTCTCACCAGAGGCAATTCAGTGGCTTAAATCATACCTATCCTCAAGAAAACAATGTGTAAAAATTGACAGTATAAAATCATCGGTCTTGGATGTCTCTGTCGGTGTGCCGCAAGGATCAATACTAGGTCCCCTGTTATTCTCCCTGTACATAAATGATCTTCCCAAAACATGTAATAGTGTGAATTTTCAAATGTATGCAGATGACGCTGTAATTTATACTCATGCAAGAAGTGTTAAAGAGGCAGCTTCTATTCTGACCTCAGCCATGGTGCAAGTAAATGACTGGTTTTTTAAATCATGTTTGCTTCTCAATAAAAAAAAAACGGTCTGTTTGATGTTCTCAAAGCAATCAAAGGAAATAAAAAGCTCCGGAGTATTCTTGAGAGGAGAAGAATTACAACTTGTCACAGAATTCAAGTACCTTGGTGTGATGCTTGATTCCACTTTGTCCTTTAAAAATCATATCAAAAAACTTGCCAATACTGTCAAATTTAACCTTAAAAATTTTAAGCAAATCAGGTCTTTTTTAACACTTGGTGCTGCTAGAATTGTTCTCCACTCAATGATTTTATCTCACATTGAATACTGCATCACAAGTTGGTCTCTCACCACAGTTACCAATTTAAAATTAATTGAATCACTGTACAAAAAATCTCTAAAAGTGTTTGACCAAAAACCTAATTCTTTCCATGTATGTAATATTTTAAACAAGTACAATCTTTTAAATTTTGAAAATTTTATAAATTTTAAGTATGTATGCTTCATTTATAAAGCTCTACATGGACTAGCCCCACCTCCTATGTCTACTCTGTTCAAACACAAGACTTCAAGTGGCCTGAGAACCAGGGCCTTCTCCAGAGGAGACTGTGAGGTCCCTCACAGAAGAACAACTTTTGGTCAGAACACTCTCTCTGTGAGAGCCACTAATATCTGGAACAGTCTTCCTCTACACATACGGGAGAGCCCTACACTGATCAGCTTCAAAGCCCAACTCAAACTACAGATGAAAACAAACCAGTCATGTAATCACTAAACTCTTAACATTTCCTTGTGATGCTTGTATTGTATGTTATGTTCTTTCTTATGTATTTGCCTGCCTAGGGACTACGGATGGAAACTAGCTTTGTAGCTATAATCCGGCATATTTACATTTGTTTTTATACTGATGTTCATTAATGTGCATTGTCCCTATTCAAATAAAAAAATAAAAAAATAAATAAATAAAATAAATCTATGGGGACCATGGGATCACTTACGATGTACTCTCTGATCAGACCGCGTCCGCTGTCAGGTGGGCTCCAGCTGACCTTCACCGTCCCGTCCTCGCCTCGGTCGCACGTCAGCTGCAGGTGTCTGGGAGGGTTGGGCACTGCTCCAGGTCGCCGGGAAGAGACAGAAAACGCTGCGTGAAACATGGCTACATGGAGAAACGAGCCGCTGACCAGAATCAGGTGATCCCAGCTGGTCAGAACGGGTTTCTAATGTTCTCATCGGCGAATCCTCAGATCCATGAGGGAATAAATAAAAAAAAAACAAATTTTTCTAGGTTCCAACCTCTGTTGTCACAGAACAGAACACCTGCAGCACTCACATCCCTCCGGCGTCCTGATGGTGATCATCTCGTTGGTCTTGTGCAGCTTGTTGAGGCACTGAGTGAGCACCTTCACCTGGTAGGTGGTGTCTGGCTTCAGCACGGTCAGCCTGTAGCTGGTTTTGTTGCTGTGGGTGTCCATGCTGGTCCACTGCTGTGTCCCCACCAGCCTGGACACAGAAACCATGGATGAGCCACGTGGGGGCGGAGCGTAAAGCTCAGATTTCCCCACCTTCCTGGTGACAGAGCTCACCTGTAGTAGACCAGGAAGTAGCAGGAGTTCAGGGGCAGGTTTTTGGGGCGTGACCAGGTCACAGTAACGGCTCCGGAGAAGTCCGGGGTCCACTGGAGGTTCTGGACTTTGTAGGCACGCGTGTCCACTGGGAGATTAAAGGGACAGCTGGTTATTTATTTAACACCACCAGCAGGTGGCAGCACTACACCACTTTAGACACAATCAACCATGACGATCTGCGGTATTACTGTCAGTATTGAAGGAGGAAATCAAGCCGTTGGTGGCGGTAATGCACCAAAAGTTGTTTGCCAACCGCCATAAAACACAAGAAGAAGAAGACGAAGAAAGAGGGAATCAAGCAAATCAAAAGATTTCGGTTGTTGTTTATAGTTTTTCTTCTTCTCCTGTTTTGTGTTGGTTGGCAAGCAACTTCCGGAGGCGCATTACCGCCAACTACTGGAATGGAGTGTGAATCGGGATGTGCAGCCAGACGGAGATGGCGCGTTCTGCTCATACGCTCTTGTTATCAGAGAACCGAGCCAGGGAAAAACCGAGCCGAGCCCACCTCTGGAACTGGTCTGCAGTTAGCTCGGTTCGGTTCAGTTCAGTTTGCTTTCCATTTACACACCATAAGTTATCTCAGTTACTGAGCTCGGACAGGTCTCGGCACGGTTTTTCAAGGGTAGTGTAATGGGGTATGTGTCTCTGAGCTGGCCCGGTTTCTCTTCGGGGTCCCCCAGAGCAGCTGGAGGAGGTGAGTGTGGATCAGGAAGTCTGAGCATCTCTGCCTAGACTGCTGCCTCTAAGACCCGGCCCCGGATAAAGAGGAAGAAAATGGATGGATGACGAGTAAAGCCGTTTCCTTCGTCGTTGGATCGTTGACATATTTCCATAAATCTTCCTCCATCTGGTTAAAGTCGTCCAGCTCAGCAGCTCCTCTTCAATGCAAAGATAGGAGCATCCTGGGGAGCAGCTCTGCTGCACCCAGAGCTGAAAGCAGCTTTATTTATTCACCACCTCCCTCCACAGCGCTGATGTCACAGTCGTCTGTTAGAAAGTGCAGCTGATTGACAGGTTTATAGGATTATTTAGCTCCAAGGCTAGGCTAACTGCATGCAGCGAGGCCAACTGCACGCAGCGAGGCTAACTGCATGCAGCGAGGCTAAGGCTTTATCCTGCTTTCCCTGCCTCCTTTTTCAAACCAGGATCCGACCCAGCATGGATTCAGACAGGTCGGAATCCATGCTGGGTCGGATCCAAACTGGTTTGATGACTTAGTATACAGGTGCTGGTCATAAAATTAGAATATCATGAAAAAGTAGATTGATTTCAGTAATTCCATTTAAAAAGTGAAACTTGTATATTATATTCATACATTACATACAAACTCATATATTTCAGATGTTTATTTTGTTTAATTTTGATGATTACAAATGACAACAAATGAAAATCTCAAATTCATCATATCAGAAAATTAGAATATTACTGAAGACCAATAAAAACAAAGGATTTATAGAAATGTTGGCCAACTGAAAAGTATGAACATGAAAAGTATGAGCATGTACAGCACTCAGTATTTAGTTGGGCCTCCTTTGGCCTGTATTACTGCAGCAATGCGGCGTGGCATGGAGTCGATCAGTCTGTGGCACTGCTCAGGTGTTATGATAGCCCAGGTTGCTCTAATAGTGGCTTTTAGCTCTTCTGAATTGTTGGGTCTGGTGTATTGCATCTTCTTCTTCACAATACCCCATAGATTTTCTATGGGGTTAAGGTCAGGAGAGTTTGCTGGCCAATTAAGAACAGGGATACCATGGTCCTTCAACCAGGTACTGGTAGCTTTGGCACTGTGTGCAGGTGCCAAGTCCTGTTGGAAAATGAAATCTGCATCTCCAAAAAGTTGGTCAGCTGCAGGAAGCATGAAGTGCTCTAAAACTTCCTGGTATGTGGCTGCGTTGACCCTGGACCTCAGAAAACACAATGGACCAACACCAGCAGATGACATGGCACCCCAAACCATCACTGACTGTGGAAACTTTACACTGGACTTCAAGCAACGTGGATGAAGTGCCTCTCTTCTTTTCCTCCAGACTCTGGGACCTTGATTTCCAAAGGAAATGCAAAATTTACTTTCATCAGAGAACATGACTTTGGACCACTCACCAGCAGTCCAGTCCTGTTTCTCTTTAGCCCAGGCAAGACGCTTCTGACGCTGTCTGTGGTTCAAGAGTGGCTTGACACAAGGAATGCGACAGCAGAAACCCATGTCTTTCATACGTCTGTGTGTGGTGGTTCTTGAAGCACTCACTCCAGCTGCAGTCCACTCTTTGTGAATCTCCCCCACATTTTTGAAGGGGTTTTGTTTCACAATCCTCTCCAGGGTGCGGTTATCTCTCTTGCTTGTACACTTTTTTCGACCACATCTTTTCCTTCCCTTCGCCTCTCTATTAATGTGCTTGGACACTGAGCTCTGTGAACAGCCAGCCTCTTTAGCGATGACCTTTTGTGTCTTGCCCTCCTTGTGCAAGGTGTCGATGGTCGTCTTTTGGACAACTGTCAAGTCAGCAGTCTTCCCCATGATTGTGTAGCCTATAGAACTAGACTGAAAGACCATTTAAAGGCTTTTGCAGGTGGTTTGAGTTAATTAGCTGATTAGAGTGTGGCACCAGGGGCCATCAATTTTGAACCTTTTCACAATATTCTAATTTTCTGATATGATGAATTTGAGATTTTCATTTGTTGTCATTTGTAATCATCAAAATTAAACAAAATAAACATCTGAAATATATGAGTTTGTATGTAATGTATGAATATAATATACAAGTTTCACTTTTTAAATGGAATTACTGAAATCAATCTACTTTTTCATGATATTCTAATTTTATGACCAGCACCTGTAGATTTGATTGTTTTTTGGGTCAATATTTCTAACCCACTGGTACCAAATCCTCCAGGATGGTTTTAAACCTACCGGTGCAGTTCTCTTCATCGCTGTGATCCGAACAGTCCAGGTAGCCGTCGCACCGCTCGCTGTCCAGAACGCAGGCTTCGCCGTCGGAACAGCGAGTCCCGTTGATGCAGAACAGAGACTGCTGGGTGGCTGGACACAGACAGAACCGTTACGTTACTTCTAGGAAATGGACTTCATGAGAAGAAACATGTCGGATCTTCAATAAACAACCAGCTGTCATGAATCGGTAAAGATGAGAGAGAGAGCTGAGGAGGCGGTTAGGGAACCGATGGAGAACAAGGAACCTGCTTCCAGACGCTCCTCAGAACAATCTGAGGAACACGTTCTCATCCGTCATGAACAGGTGGAAGAGGTTTTCTGATTAAGCAAAATGTTTCTAAATCTGTAAACTTTAGATCTGCTTTGGGATCAACTTCAGCTCTTCGCTTTTATTGGTTCAATCAAAGAACACAAAATGCACAAAATAATATTAAGACCAATTTAAAGAACAACAGAGTTCATGTCATCATCTGTTTTCTTTTTAAATGGAAACAGACAACAAAAAAATAAAGATAAGAAAAAGGAGGGAGTGTTTAGATCAGAGGGAACCAGGATGTAGATTTATGAGGTCAATGAGTTCAGAGTGAAGCGCCAGCATGGAGAACGCTCCACCTGAGGCTGCCGTCCCTTTAAGAAAAGGTTATCAATGGAGATATGACTTTGCGTATTTAGTGGTGAGTTATTAAAGGTTATATATTCAACTGATCTGCAGCAGTCTGAGGGTGAGCGGCGGGGTCACAGGGGAACACAGAGACACACTATCCGTCGTGTTTTTGGACTGTAGGAAGAAGCCAGAGTACCCAGAGAGAACCCACACATCCACAGGGAGAACAAGCAAACAAATATCCACAGCCAAAAACGTCTAGAAACAAAAATCTGTGGTAATCAGGGCTGAAATCAATTAATCAGATTAATTGAGTATTTAAATAATCTGCAGCTAATTTAGTAATCGATTAATCGTTAACTGGAGCATAGAGACTATAAACCAGTGGTAACCAATTAAAGATCAGTGGGTTCCAAATAAAGAAATGTAACAACCAGTAAAGATACGGAGACATTTTTAACTATAATCTGTTACTTGAAAAGAATTTAACACTGAAATAAAATTAGGTTATTATGCATCCATGTTATGCATTGAATTTTTAAATAAAGATATTAAAAGTTTTTAAATTTTTCCATTTTAAAATCTAAAGTGTTTTTTTAAGTAGAGAACAACAATCGTTCAGTTTGGTTTATAGATAATTTCCTGATTCCCATATTTTCTCAAACCCCTGAACTGATGGTTTGTTATTTTCTTTCTTTTTTCTGTCTTAATGTTGGCAGTGGGCTTTAGGCTGCCCTGCAAGGCTTTAAACCTGGGTTTAACCGGAGACTAAGCCATTCTCAAGCACATATCAAGGAGCTCATTTTGAGCCTGGATCCAGATTTATTGTTGATTCTGTTCATGGTGGAGAATCCTGCTTCACAGCAGCAGGTTGAGCCAAACATCCTCTAAATGTGCAGGGTCATCTTTGAGCACGCCATTTCACTTTTCTTTCACCAGTTCACCGCAGTTCTTCCAGCAGTCCACACTTTCTCTGCTCTCTTTTTCTCATGGTCTTCTCCTTCTTTCCCATCGCCCGGCTTGCCACAGGTTTGCCTGCTGTGTCTAAAAGTAGCAGCAGCAGCAACCCAGACTGACAGCTCATTGGCTCATTTGGATCACGTGCAGCCTGGAGCCGGACGCTCCCCAGGGCTTTACCGTATTAACAGGAGAAGCAGAGAAAGTGAAGGTAGACACTGTCATCAGACAACATGCAGTAATTTATAAATGTTTTAAATCAGGTTGGGTCCAGCAGGTTAATCATAAAATATGCCTTTAGCAGAAACTCACTTAGAGCAGGAATCATACCAAATATTATAAATAATATATATACATTTTTTGCATTTAAGTGAACAAATCTTTTTCTTCTGCCAATCTGCTCTATCAAGAAATCCTCAAGTGGAAAAGTTTTAGTTTAAACTGGGTTAAATCCATAAAAACTATTCTTTGGCTATTTGATGATTAATCGGAAAATAATCGAAATATGAATCAATTTGCAAAATAATCGATAGTTGTGGCCCTCGTCATGGAATAGATACCAAAAGCAAATGTTTTTGCATATTTTGCTGATTTTAGATTTATTTCAAACAGTAATACCAAGTATTATTTTCTACAGACCAATTATCTTATAATTCTTCACATTTCTTTTTTTACTCATTTCAGTAACTTCTGTCGTTCCGATCAGAGAGCATGTTCCACTTTGAGACTAAACATCATGTTAACAAAAATAGTTTTATGCCGTGAACCATTTTAATGATTCATTTGGTATTGGAAAAGTTATAGAGCATCAAATATCCTCCTGGGTTTAAAACTTTTAGTATGATACCAACTGTAAAGAGAAAGTAGTGAGCAGAAAAAAAGGCTACATGAAAAGTTTTTCTGAAATGATGCTTCCTATCTTTAGCAACATTGAGAACAATTCCTGACTGATCAGGTCTTTGCAGCCTTTGACCAGTAGAGGGCACTCTAGTAGAGGATGTCAGTGTTCTGGCTCCACATGGCTCCTCAGCCTGGGTGCTGCTGGGTGCTAGTTGCCCCCCAGAGACTCCATGGAGACAGATGCTGAGCTGGGATTCAAACCCTAAACCTTCCTGGAGAAGAGGAAGCAGTAATATTGCTGCAACCTGCAGCAGCATGAGGATAAACTACAACCTAGTCGCCTCAGATAAAAGGAGAGAAAATCTATTCATGATAAATATCTGGATGGGAAGAAAAGAAAAGCTCAGACTTCAACCATTGAAATGTCACGGGAAAGACGGATTAGAAAAGAATAAAAATAAATGAAAAATGTTTGGAAGATCAAGCAGCAGGAAGGATATTAGAAATGAAATATACTTAGTCAGATTCTCAACACTTTTGGAGGCTTTTTTATCTTTATAAGAAGGTTAAAAACTACATAAAAACCTTAATTTAAAAAAAAAGGAAATAAGAATGCTTTCTTTACATTACGTCGATCAAATTTAGGAAACAAGATGTTTTATTTTGTTTTTTTCATTAGTGATTTCAACTAAAAACGGAGAGATGGAGCCTTCAGGTCCCTTCAGGTCAGTTGGGTTGGTAAAATAACAGCTTCTTTTATTTTGAAAGATGGTAAAATTATTAAATCAAAGATTCAATGCATCTTTCTCTCTCAAAGGGATTTTAGTTGATTTTGTGGGGTTTTTTTGTTTTTTTTTTGGTAGTGATGTTTCTCAGTCATTCCAAAAAAAAAATTTAAAAATCAATCCACTGGACTTGGTTTCCAAGTTTGAAGACATTTCGCTTCCCATCCAGGAAGATTTCTCAATTCCAAAACCCAAACTGGGTGTTTGTCAAATCAGCAAAGGAAATGCAAAAGACAAGCAGCAGAACATAACGATGAGAAGATTAAATGCAAAACATCTCCATCCATTATGTTGTTGGAGGCTCTGAAAAACTCAAGAGGATTTTCTCCAAACACTAAATCCCAGAATATTTCAAACCAAACAGACCCTGAAACAGAGACTAGTTCATCCTAAAGACCAAACCCCCAGACCTAATCTGAGCAGAGTGGTGTCTGCAGTACACCTACACCTGATGGACAGAGGACATTCCTTGGAGGACCAGAATGTTCACATTTTGGACAAAGAAGACAGGTGGTTTGAGAGGGGTGTGAAGGAAGCCATCTATGTTAAGAAAGAAAAACCAACCTTAGACAGAGGGGGGGGACTCAGATTTCAGCTTTCAAAAACCTACAATGCAGCGATAGAGTTGATTCTTTCCTGCTAATGATGGGTCCAGCAACACTGATGCAGTGCATGCATCGAGCTGCCAGAACAAACCACCATCGATGCACGTTTCGTTTCCAGAAAGTCATGTGACCGATACAGGAGGTGTTTCTAACCGATTCACTAAACTGTTTAAAAATGTTTCCATTAACATGATGCTTCTACTAAAAATCTTTAGTGGTTTGTCATTAAAATGATCAATAATTTTGTAGCAGCCTTAATGGAATAGGAACATTTCAGCCATTGTGGGTTTTGTTTAATTATTTTCTTGTTGTATCATACTTTTCCTCATCACTCAACTTATCCGAATAAAAGTTAATTTCAAATTGCCGTTTTTTTCTGTATCCTAATCCAAAAGCATCCTCATTCACATTTTCCCCTCAATTCTCACATTATGTTTACATTTATTGGCTGTATCAGAAAATATCAGATATTTTCAATTCAAACAGATATGAAATACAGTATAACCTCCAATAACATTATACTAGGTCATCCAATGAATTCAGTTTATTCTGTCCAATCAGCTGCCTGTAGTGTCTTTAAATGTCCAGCAGGTGTCAGTATTCTGGGAGACAGCATCAATGCAGTTTGGCAGTGTGTCAAAATTCCTCATTAACCAATCACTATTTCCACCATCATCACAACCCCAAATCCCATAACGGGCTACAGAACACCTCGCCTATTCAGCCAGGCCAACAATTCCCTCTAACGACCCCCCTTTCAGAAACATAGACAGGTATGGGGCATTGCAGGCTAACAAAGAAGCCAAACGACCCCCATTCCAAAGGGGGGGACCCGTTCATCCGTTTCTATTTGCATGTTTTCTAAACTAAAACCAGGCTTTGTTGGGCTGCTGGATAAAACCTGGAACTAAACGCTATTTCTGACATTTTGGATTGAAAAAGATTCCTGGATGGAAGAGAAACGTCTTCAGACTTGGAAACAAAGTCCAGGAGATAGATTTTTTAAACTTTTTTATGTTTGTTTCTTTTCTATATTAATTTTACTTATTTATTTATTTTCTATAGTGATTAATCTCAGTGCATGCATTCAGTAGTGTTTGTATTTCTGCTTTTGTGCACCACTTTGTCCGTGCTGGTCTTTAAAAGTCACCGTGTGCGGGTGAATCTAAGACGCTGGTTTAGGTGTAGAAATAAAAACCTTTGCAGTCGTTGATTTTTCTCCTTCAGACGACGGAGAAATATTCTGGATGATCAGTCGGATTAAATGCCTGCAGACTTACGGCAGTTGGCTTCGTCCGAGCCGTCCTGGCAGTGCGGGTGGCCGTCGCAGCGCAGCCACTCCTGGATGCAGTGGGGGGGGTGATTGCACTGGAACTGCCCCTGACCGCAGCGTCCGGGGGCCGGGGGAGGGCCCGCCGTCATGGAGCTGTTAGCTGCTGTCAGAGGAAGCAGAAGAAAGTTCCAGATAATCTGCTTCAGTCTAGAAACCCAACTGGCTAATACAGCTGGTTGCTTAGCAACACATGGAGTTTCTTTGGCATAAAACATGTGACTACTCTTCCTGCTGTCTGACTGGATGAGCAGAGGAACCGAGACGTCGAAGTTCATAGACAAACTGGGACCCTAGAAACCCGGATCTGGTGCTGAATCATCGGAAAGTTTCTGCCTTTTCCACAAAGTATCAAACCTAAAAAAATTCCTGAACAGATCATTTCAACCTGTGGGACATCCGAGCTCATCGCTGCCGTCAGGACAGTCGGCGTAGCCGTCACAGACCCAGGTGTTAATGATACAAGCTCCTGTGCCGCAGTGGAAACGGTTTGGGGCGCAGGTGATGGGCCCAGAGGTCGCAGCGTGCGGAGTGGCGCCCCCTAGAGGAGACGCATGACCTGTTAGTCCAGGAATAAGACAGAATGTAAAGAGAGCTTTGGTTGGGAAACCAACCTGTGCACTGGGCCTCGTCCGACCAGTCGCCACAGTCGTTCTCTCCATCGCACTTCCACCACGTAGGAATACAGTGACCGTTCCTGCATTCAAACTGGAAATACCTGGAGCAGCCCGGCATCTCGGTGGGAGCAGCTGGAACGATGACAGTTAGAATGATTTAACGGTTCCACACGGTGCGTACGCATCGCAGCGTGAGTGGGAGGAATCTCCTCCTCACCGCAGTTGGCTTCGTCAGAGTAATCCCCGCAGTCGTCCATGCCGTCGCACTTCCAATCCAGGCTCACGCACATTCCGTTAGCGCACTCAAACGTGTAGGAATCGCACACTTTGCCAAACTCAGACGGCGTAACTGATAGAGAGGGAAACAAAAACTCAGTCTTCGTGGAAATCAGAAGAAAATACATTAAAATTCAAGTTTTGCTGAAAACAAAAAAGCAAAAACATATTTAGGTAAAAAAATTGCTCCTCCCCTTTAACATGTGGATCCACTGAAGGACGCTGGGACTTTCACAGCACTAGTGGGGGTTTTTTTCGCACAGTAAACTGACAGGAAGGGGATAAGAGAGAGGGGGAGAGACATGCGGGAAAGGACCACAGGTCGGACCCAAACCCGGGTCAGCCGCGTCGTTGACTAAGGTCTCGATACATGGATCATGCGCGCTAACTGCTGCGCCACCAAATCATGGCGGCTGTGACTTTTTTAACGTTTCTTTCCCTACTTCCACCTTTTAGAAAAGACACGTATTAAAGGAAAAGTCCGCTCATATTCAGAATACAAACTTCTGAAAGTACTTCAAATATTAAATTATTACTAATTGTTCTATTACATATTGTTCAATAAATGATAAGTGTTTTTAATTTTCATTCTAATGTGCTTTACTGGAGGCATCCATGTTTGTCAAAGAACATGTAACCTGCATTAAATAATCACCCGCATTTTATTTTGGCGGGTCAAACAGGAAAGCACACTTTAAAGGAATAGTACACCCAAAACATGATTAGCCTTCATTTTCTACTACCCCCATGCTGAACAACACTCTGGAGTACTTTTTTGATATCTCAAATGCATCTGGAGATCTGGGAGGCTTCTTGCTGTCTGCTGACATTCAAATAATGGAGGTCTATGGCGCCCGAGGCAGAAAGGTCCATAAAAGTCCACAAAAAACGTGTCAATATTCCTCCATACTGCTCGTCCAATGTATTCCAAGTGTCCTGAGTGGGTAGCATCCAGAATTTACTCGAAACGAAGTCATTTAGAATGTTTTTAGAGCATAAACAGTAGTGTATAGGATTTCCTAAAAGCGAGTTCACGAGTCTACGGAAACCGCGGCAAACCAAGCCAGATGAAAGTGCGCATTCAGCGTCTGCTCTGCCGATAATGCAAGCGTAGAAGAAGAAATGTGCTGTTTACCTGTGCAAAGAAAGAAACAACGAAAGAAAAATGTCTGAGGACTTCAGTGTTGAGGAAGAGCATGAGTTCTTTGCCGAGCTGAATGCGCACTTTCATCTGGTTTGGTCTGCCGCAGTTTCCGTAGACTCGTGAACTCGCTTTCAGGAAATCCTATACACTACTGTTTATGCTCTAAAAACATTCTAAATGACTTCGTTTCGAGTAAATTCTGGATGTTGCACAACAGAAGTTCGATGGCAAATCCTCCCTCTTCAAGTTGGCGATCCAACGACCAACCCGTCCGTGGAGGATCAGGAATCAGAAAGGTGGAATAACTCTTTTTTTCCACTTTTACCCGATGTATTCCAGCATCCAGCTGCCATGCACGTGGGCATTGTCAGTTTCACTATAGCTCTGGTGAATTTCAATGGTGAAGTCCTCTGGAAATCTTCAATAATTGTTGTTGATTGCAGATGTGTCTAGTAGTTCCCATTGATTTAGCTTGGAAAGCGGGGAGAATGGCGCTAGGCTTACCGCACCGTGACGTCACTGCTGGAAGATGGCAGGAGGGAGGGAGGGGCTACTATGTTTGGGCAAAAATGGCCGCTCCCAGACTCAGAGATCGCCACGAAAATTATTGTTTTAATTTTTTTACTAATTAATGCTAAATTCAATAAATCACCACAAATGTAAAAGTATAAAAGTTTTAGTTATAAATAATGATCCATTGGTTATTCCTTGCAGACCGAACTACTTAAACTTTTATTGTCTAAGCTGTCAAATGTTCATCTATTAGAACCAATCAGCCAGTCAGTAGCTTCATGGCTGAAATATTCTCAAGCGTTGGGTCGTCGCGCCGTGCACGCCATGCTCGAGCCCATAGAAGCACTGTACTCTTTTACCCGTCCACGGGATGTAGGTGCAGTACCCGCAAAAAAACACATAGGAGCAGTGATACAACATAACAAGCGGAAATGCAGAAACAAAATGGAAAAATATGACGTTCCACTTCCAAAATGGCTGAATATAGTTTTGTTTATTTAGGAATTGATGATAATGGAGGAATAGTAGGTGAATTACATAGTGGATTGGTTTTTTTTTTAACTTTTTTGGAATACTATGGGTGGTTGTTTCAAACTTTTATATGTTCTATGTGACGAAAACAGAAACTAGAATCCTTGTTTTTCTCACCATCTTGACCAATCAACTTTTCAGTCAGTAAATGAAGAGTAACAGCACAGCATTTAACCACAATGTTCCACTGGAACCTTCTGCTCTATTTGATGTCAGTATGCCTGGCTGTGTGTTTCCTGGACGGGGCCGCCTGTGGAGCTGGTTGACAGTTGTCTTTTGTATCTATGCTTCTTTTTCTATGTCTGCTTCTGTCTCCTTGAACCCCAGTGGGCCTCAGCAGATGGCCGCTCACACTGAGCCTGGTTCTGCTGGAGGTTTCTTCCTTTTAAAGGGAGTTTTTCCTCTCCACTGTCGCTACAAGCATGCTTAGTGTGAGGGATTGCTGAAGAGTCAATGAGTCGATGCAATCAGCTAGTTTTCCTTAGATAGAAAACTTTGAATCAATCTGACTGGATGATCTGGTGAACTGGAAAGTGACCTGAGATGAAATGATGTGAATTGGAGCTATAGAAATAAACTGTATTGAGTTGAGTAAAGGAAATTCATGGAGAACAACTTCATATCCTCCCATTTGGTACGAGGCTAGCGTACGGTCCACGCTCGGGGCAGGGAAGCATGATTGTGTCACTTTTGGTGCGTGCACCGTCTTGCCCTGTTCGACCTAGCAAGTATAAACCAAGCTTCACCCTCCTTTTCCTCCCTGGAGAGATGAGGTCCCGAAGGCAACAAATGTTGCTTTAAAGTCGTAGGGAAGCGGCTGTTCCAACCGTCGCATTTACGAACTCTCCCGAGTGGTGCACGACTTTACACAAGTGAATAAAGTGAACGTTATTGGACAGTGAGCAAGGTTCTGGTAAATCGACTCGTACCTCCTGTATACTACATGACACAGTACACTAGCCTCGTGAGACCATCCTGATCTCGCGAGCTTTCAAGGTTTCACTCGCAGATCAGTCTGGAGACTCTCCGTTGAAGAAAATTTGGAGCCGTTCACCAAACGAACGTCCAATCAGCGTTGGCTTTGAGGCGGGTTGAGGCGTGACGCAACGAGAAGCGCGACAGTTCAGTCTAAAGAACATGGCGGCTTCAGCCGATGAAACTAGCGTTAGCGTGGCTATCGAGCAAGTTTTATCGGAATTACAGAGTATTTCTTCACTGAAAGAAGAGCAAAACACTGCTCTGGAGGCTATTCTCAGAGGAAAAGATGTTTTTGCTCTTCTCCCGACTGGTTTAGGCAAGAGTAGCCTGGCTTGTGGTTGTGTTTTCGTCGTCGCTCTGTTAGTACGTCATATGCTTCGTTGATCTGATTGGTTTATTTGGCCCGTCTATCACCAATATAGGCCAATCAGCTAACCGGTATTTTCGCCCCTTCCCAAAATTACTTCAACGGAAGGTTTCCAGATGGATATGCGGAGCAAATCCATCTGGCAGAGTCAGGTTAGCAGTACACACCATGAGGCTGAAACTCGTTCCAATCCAAAAAATTTTCACGTGACTGGAGAAAAGACACCAAAAAGGCACAAAACAGTCATATAGTGTACGCCCGCCTTAAGGAAGAAGTCCCAAAATGGAAGAGTGCATCTAAACTTGTCACTACAGCGTATTAACTGCTTTTATTTAGGCACGGCTCTTCTAGATTTCCTGTTTCCTGCAGCAGCAGGTCAGAGGTTCCCAGTCTCTAGTGAGAAGTTAGCCAGCAGAGACATTTAACTGAGTGAAAATGACTATGAGATAAAGAAGAAACTGCACAATGTTTTAAAAAAGAAGAGCTGAGTGGTTTGATTCAGGCTGGACAGCCTCCTGCTGGCTGCATGGTAGCTGGACTCTGTTTACATCACATCTTTTCTTTCATTCTGAGATGAAAGCAGCACAGAAAAGGAGAGAAAAACCAAAATACACAGAGTGATGCTCACCACATCCGGCGTACCCGGCGTCCTCATCAGAACCGTCTTCACAGTGCTTGATGCCGTCGCAGACCAGAGACTGGAAGAGGCACTGCGCTCGGTTCTTACAGACAAACTCCATGTAGCGAGTACACAGCGGATCTGAGGGAGAAACCCAGACGACTTTTAGCTAAATCCCTCTTTTTCTTTAAGGCACGGGTCTGAGTCTCCTCTGTCTTTCTGTTATCTATGCAACTCCTTCCTGAATAAAGTTCCTCCGATTTCCTTGAACCTGAACAGGAGGATTAACTGGCTGCATGACTTCCTGTGGTACGCTGGTCTCTGTGACTCACCACAGCTGTGCTCGTCCGCCCCATCAGGACAGTCGCGGATGCCATTGCAGTGAGCCTTAGCTGGAAGGCAGGTGCCGTTGGAGCACAGGAAACCTTTACACTGGGTTCCCTCTGAAACAACAGAATTTACATTTATGGCTCCTTTTATTTAGGAACTTTGAAAGCAGATATCCAACCCTGTTGTATGTGAAAACAAGGAGAAAAGGCTGCTGCTGCTTTTACCATTATTTAACACTGAAGTGATTCTCTGAACAGCTTCTGTTTCCCTCAGCAGGAACAAAGCTTCAACTCACCGCAGTACTGAGGATCCTCATCAGAGTTGTCCTGACAGTCATCATCTCCGTCACACTTCCAGCGCAGTGGAATACAGTGGCCTGTGTGACACTGGAAGCTGCTCGGTTCACATGTATGGTGGCCCACTAAGGACAAACGACATAGAAGAAAATGCTGGTTGAACAGCTTCTACACAGATGAAAACCTAAACCTGCAACAGTCAACAGACACTAAATGGATCGTTTGTTAATGTGGACTGAACAGCCGATGGTTTTTTTTAGATAAAACATCACAAATGTTCTGAAAGCTTTACGTTAATTAACTGTATAGTTTATGAAGAACCAACCTGTGCAGTTGGCTTCATCGGACCAGTCTCTGCAGTCGTTGTCTCCATCGCAGCGCCAAGCATCACGGATGCAAACCCCTCGTGCGCACGTGAACTCTCCCGGGCCACACTGGTGAGACTCTGAGGAGGCGATGAAAACTGGAGTTGGTGCAGAAATCAGGAAGGAGTTCCTCTGGTTTCTCTGTTTTTCATCAGTTGCATTAATTCCTACGGCTGCATTGTTCAGAACCAATCAGAACCCAGAGCAGCTAGCGTTAGCTAAACTAATGCTACGTTCACACCAGTGTTGTAGTACTCGAAATCGGTCTTGGTCTCGAGACCATTTTTTGATGGTCTCGTCTCATCTCGGACTTGACCACATTTGGTCTCGGTCTTGTCTCGGGCGCTGAGGACTCAGCATTTTATTTCAAGACCGGTCCAGACCACAGCTGTGGAAATAACGCTAATCATCAGAATATTATCAGTCTCTTTAAGATCCTTCTTTTTATTGGATGCTTGGATTCAAACCCAAGCAATAACCTCATAGTCTCATTGGTGAATGCAGTGAAGGAGATCAATCTATTTTTTCAACAAATTATCTGTCTCATAACATATTTCACAACTAGGTGACAGATATAGATTTATTTTAAAAAAGTTGAGAGAAACAAGAGAAATGATTGGCATTTTTTCAGTTTTACACATTTTACAGAATTTTGCACATTGTTTTGAAATAGCACATTTAAAAACAACATAAATGTGTACTGTTCATGAACGGCAGAGAAAGTACTATTTTGATCAACTTTGATTGTTTGAAATTCTGTGATGACTACACAGACGTACTAAATAAAGATGTTAATGTTTATTCCAGTTCTGTCTGTTAAATATCTAGGTGTTTTTATGTGAATGAGAGTCTTTTTAGATCAATTTTTGTGATTTTGATCATGTTTCACATTTTATTGTCACATACTGGCGCTGGTCTTGGTCTTGACTTGGTCTCGGACCCTAAAAGTCTTGGTCTGGTCTAGCCGCGCGGCTGAAGCAGCTTTGCTGCTCTGGCTGCGTTGTGGTAAAGTGTGTCTGACGCGCGTTGGGCGGAGCTACTCTATCCTTTCTTTGCCTTGCAGCTATATTTGCTGTGATCAGTGGGAATAAAGTAGTTTTAATATGTTTTAAAGTGAGAAAATCCACGTGAAAACTTAATCATTGCAGTCAGTTCATCCAGATTACCATCCTGCCTTCCAATATTAGTTCTGTCGGAGCCCCACATACCAGCGGTGCGCTGTCAGTAGGAATCCCGTTCAACAGCAGCCTCTAGCCGGGTCGCCTCCTCGCGGTTCACCGCGGCGGCTGGAAGCGGTTTTCATGTTCATTATCCAAACTGCAGGCAGCAGGATAATTAAAGCGAACATGTTTTGTTGGCAGGTTTCTACATTTTCAGTTAATTTAGGCGTTAATAAACTGTTTAAACTGTTTCAGAGGAGTGATCATAGCGCTCTGTGTCATCAGCGATGTGTCCGTCTCCCTGCCAGCTCCCAGATCAGCTTCTCTGATTGGTTGATGCGGCGCGTCCAGCAGCAAAAGTTCCATTTTTCCATCTCGAAAAGCAGCACGTTTGCGGGGCATCGCGCGCGTCAGATGCTCAGATGCGCTGCGGTACATTTTGCTGCACCTTGAGGCGCGTCAACCATTGACTTTGCATGTAATCTCGCTGCTCCTGCTGCGTCCGTTGTGAACGCAGCATAAGAGCAGCTAGCGTTAGCGGCTGTCTGGAAGGTGTCGGGTGCGAGGACTTTAGGGAGAAACCTGACGCCATACTACCTCATGGATTTTCTCAGGAGCTTTCATCCCTGATTCCCATCAGGTCCTGAGTTGCCGAGGATAACAAAAGAGTTGGGAAAATGAATGCCAACAGTTAACAGCTCCGGCTCGGAGCAGCAGGGCTCACCACAGTGCTCCTCGTCACTGTTGTCTCCACAGTCGTCTTCGTGGTCACATTTGAAGGCCAGCGGGATGCAGGAGCCCGAGGCCACGCAGCGGAACTGGTTGGACGGGTCACAGGTGGTCGTCGCTGCAAACAGACACAGAAACGTTGCCCTCATTTCTTTTCACCATCAGGTGGGGCTCGTCCGGTGGATACTCACGACACTCCTGCTCGTCGCTCATGTCTCCACAGTCGTTGTCGCTGTCGCACTTCCAGATGCTGTTGATGCAGCGGCCGTTGGAGCAGCGGTACTGATTGGGCAAGCAGCTGTGCTCTGATGAGACGAAAAGAAGGAATGAAACCTGATTACCCTGAAGACAGACCACAGCGAGCATCAGAGGAAAGCCGGAGGTCACGCCGCCTCTTAGCCTCACCGATCTTGATGCAGGTGTTGTTTTGGAGCCGGTAACCAGAGGGACACAGGCACTGCAGCTCCCCGCTGGGCGTGGTGACGGTGGGAGCGCCGTCCGGACAAACGCAGGTGTGTCTGTGGCTGGGCTGTGGCAGACACAGCAAGCTGCACGGCTGGTCGGCGCAGGCGTTATGTCCTGATCAGGACGACAGGACAACCAGAGAGGATTAGAATCCTGCAAGGGATGTAACTGTTAGTGGAGACGGATGCTCCTTACCTCGGTTCTTCCCTTTAGAGAAGATCTTCAGATCCATAACTCCAGTCAGTCGGCCAACAATCAGCTCATTGTTCTGAGATCCAGCCTTTGGAGCTTTGAAGATTCCCATCCTTGACCAGTCATCCCAGTACAGGTCGTTCTGAAATGAGGAGGAACCGTTCAGTGAATACAGGAGGAATGGGGGATCAGGGCTCCGGTGGAAGAATAAAAAAGCCTGAAACCATCAAATCAGGGCAGAGAGAAACAGGGTTGAGTTTCCTCTGGAAGAAAGTCCTGTTATTAGATGATATTTTGGAGCGCTGGAATAGATCCATTGAAAAATCAACTCACTAAATCAACCAGGAGAATAAGGATAAATCCACCCATCAGGGAATTCCATATTTAACACAGAAGTGATCATTTACTAATAGCATTTAAATGGTATGTAATGTAATGGCTTGTATACTCAGATTACATTCATTTCTTCTGCTCTGTGTGCCCCCTACAACCCTGGCAGTGAAGGATGGGTGGAATTTCTAGCTATAACTTTGAGAATTATGTAGATAATTTCTTGTACAGTAAGGGCGCAGGACGATTAATTTTAAAATCATGTTCATTGAAAGTATTATAGACTGGTTTATATGTTCTAATAACTAATAACTGGTTGTAGTATCGTTTACCCGCCGTCTTGTTTTCTACCAGGGCTGCTGCGGTCATTATTAGCCGTCATCCTCAGAGTCTGACTGTAGACCAGAGGTCTGACCTGGAAGCTGTGATGCCTCCATGTCCCGCAGCATCACTACCTCTCCTGAGCTTGAAGTGGCTGATGGTTCAACCAACTGTTGTTGGAAAATGTTATTCTTGTTCCTTCCTTCTCAGTACATTGATGTATGCTATTTACTCTCTAAAAATGTTTTTTTTTCTCAGTTAGTTTGTCTCACTTGCAAGGCCACAAAATGTCTGAGTGGAAGATGGTTATAGACCAGACATACCTTTTTCCCATAACAAAACCACATACTTTTTCAAGGTAACTGTTTAACCAAAGTGTCTGTTATTGTTTTGACTCTGCCTTAAAAGTAAGGGAACAACTTTGTCTAGGTTAGAACTTGGCAGACCATCATGCTGTGAATGTGAATGTCTAGTTCTCCTTTACTTTGCAATAGGCTTGTCCCAATCCGATACGTGGATCGGATCGGGACGCCGATATTGGCAAAAAAATGTGTATCGGCAAAGCATGTAAAATGCCGATCCAGACTGCCGATCCAGTTTTTAAAAAAAAAATCTGGTCCGTATTTTCCAGTTTCGCCGATTGAAACAATCCATTCCACTATTTTGCGCCAGTGTTTCCCTGTTTTGCATTTTTTTTTAAACAGTAATACTTGCACCTTTAACTGTTTACGGTTTTACTGCTCACTGTGCAATTTCAGATTGCTATTCATAATTTTGTCCAGTTTGTGTTTATCTCTTAATAAACAGGTAAGTTTTTTGTTACCAAGCATTGTGTTTTATTCAATCTCACCTAATTCAGCTGGCTAGATGTTATCAAGAGTACTAAAACCCTTTTCAACATGAGTCTTACAACTAAGGCTAAATACTTTAACTTAAACTTAAATACGTGCTCGGATATGCTGGTATCGGCCAGTATCAGTATCGGATCGGAAATCCAAAAACAATATCGGTATCGGATCGGAAGTGCAAAAACCTGGATCGGGACATCTCTACTTTGCAAAGTAAATAAAGTGCCGACTGAGTAAATCCCTCGATCTCCTTTATTTAACTGGACCAAACAGTTGAAAACTTTTTTCACACAACACCAACCGAACCAGTTCCAGACTAGATGTTCTGGAACAATTCTCAGGGCGTTTCTCAATTCACGATAACGCAAGTACGTACTTGCGTTCTCGTCAAGTCCGTTCTTGGCGAGAACGCAGGAAGATCGGACTTGACGAGAACGCGAGCACGCAAGCACGTATGTGTATTGGAGCAGAAGCGTACTCGTGACGTCATCACAGGCAACGTTGTTTAGCATTTCTTTAACAGTCAAAGCTATTTATTCCCTACACAAAACATTTTGAAAACAATATTTTTAATTTCTAAAGCTTAAAAAACATTAAAAAAAATTACCGAACCGCAAAAAAAACGCCATCAGAACGAGCGGTAGTTCACACATAACTAGACCGAGAGAAGTGCACTACAGACGGGGTAAATTTAGCCCTGGCTGCGGTTACCCTCGGAGGTCTGCTGGTCACTCTGGTCCGCTCAACGTCGGACTTTTTTTTTTTTTATTTCACACTAACTCTGTAAACAGGCCACACAGGGAGGCTTAAATGTATAATGTTATTGCCTCAAACGATTTCAAATCGTACTTTTGAAAAACAACAGCAGCAGAAAAGGGAATGTTTAACTTAACACTGTGAGCGCTGTCTCGAATCAAGCTGCGGCCGCGGGGTATTTTGGGGAAGCGGTCAGTCTGAAGAACGCACAAGTCTGCTCTGATGCATGCTCGATAAAGAGGGCGGGGCGAGAACAACATCCGGGGATTTGATGCGTTCTCAATCTGGCGTTCTCGAGAATTGGAACGCTACTCGGGCTGAGGCTGATGACGTGTCACGAGTACACGAGAACGCTCAAGAACGCATATTGAGAAACGCCCTCAGTGTTTCCATCTATTTCCCTTATCGCATGCTAAGCTAGCTCCAACAGTGACGTCACCACGGTGATGGGTTTTTAACATCTGTTAATCAAAGTGCTGGTGTGGAGCTCCTGAATGTAGGATATTTCTGTTAAAAATAAGACTGTTTGATACCATGAAATCAATAAATATACTTCTTTAAAGTTGTAGGGAAGTCATATTTAAATGTCAAATTATTCTTGCTTAAACATGTATATAAATGTACTCTTTATTAGACCATATTGTCCCAAAATGTAAAAAAATAAATAAATAAAAAATCCTGTCTTAAAATCAGTGTTTTTTCCGTTATCTTCTGCAGGCCAGTTAGTTCTACGTCAGCCTGAACATCTAAATTCGGCCAATCATATATCAACGGTCATCTGTCAATCAAATGTTTTCATTTATAGCATCTTGATTCATCTGTCGCAGCTAATATATGCAACGGTTGAAACCAGAATCCCTTCCTTTCCCATTGAGTTGCGTCCCAGTGTTCACGGGGATGGACGTCTGTGTCTTCGGCAGGCGTAGAGCTAACAGAACTGGCAGCGTTGCGAGGCAAGGGCTCAAACATGTACGGCTGGAAGCCTTCTACACCAAACCAAGCTTCTGCCGCCCTGGCGTCCTCTTCCACAACATCTTCGTCCCCGCTTTCCTCCTCTAAATAAAAAATGGATGACGGAGGAGACTCATCCACGACCTCCGACACTAAACTCTCCTCCTCTTGCATGTTTCCTCTGTCCATAGCGTTCCTTGACAGCGTCGTTTCTAAGTCACCAATTTAGTGCTACTTGGTCCCAATGGAATTTCCCATTGGGAACCTGCTAGCGCTAAGTTGCTAACTGGTTAGCAAGATGCTTCTGACAAACCGGCCACAAGTAAACTTGCTTGCGAACCTTCCACCACAACAATCCCGCCCCCTTGATAATTGACCAATCACATTTACTTCATTCACTCGTGTAATCTCGGGCACCACTCGGGAGAATTTGGGAGAAACGTTTGGAACAGCCGCTTCACTACAACTTTAATTTATAAAATCTTTAACCAACTTCTGCTGTGTTGTTTTAAAGTCAAAATAAAAGGTCAGTATTTTGGAAGATGGAAGAAATATTCACCACAAGTCAACACAAAGTGAGTTCTTCAAAATAAAAGCACTTCCTGTAGGAATTTGTTTGATAATCAATTTTAAATATGTCCTTTTAAGCATAAATACATATTTACGGTACATTGTAGCTCGATTGTTATTCGATATTAATATGTATTGTATTGTAGAAATAACACAAAGAAGTATAATTTCTAAAAAAAGTAAAATCTAAACTTGTTTCTGCGTAAAATTTAGATGTAAAGGCAGAGCAGGTTTATTATTGAAGCCAAATTCAGTAGAAGAACAATTCAAAGTGCTTTAGATGAATAAAATGAAAAGTAAAGGTGTTGCTGACAGACCAGCCACCATGAATGCGATGTGATGAAGCTAAACTTGGCAGAGGCTGGACCCCTGACCTCAAAGCGGTCTGGAAACTGCGTCCTACCTTGAAGACGGCGATGGCGTACGGATGGGGCAGCCCCTCCATCAGAACGCTCCTCTGCCCCCCGTCGAAGTTGGCCCTCTCGATGCGGTCGCTGTAAGCTTCGGTCCAGTACAGCCACTGGTCGTCGGCGGTGATCCCGTTGGGCCAGCGGACGCCTTCAGACACTATGCAGGACACGTTGGTCCCGTCCATGAAGCCGCGGTAGACGCCGGCGGCCCGGTCTCCCCAGTCAGTCCAGAACATCATGCTGAGGAAGATTAAAGAGGTGCAGCCATGTTACTGCTGTTCTACACAACCGCTAACCGGATCTTTAACAGAACCATTAAATCTCTGATCAGAACCAGGCGGGGGATCGATTCAAGTTTCAATCTAATGATCCTCATATCAAAAATAATATTTTTTACTTTTTGCAATAAACAGCCAATTAATAAAGAGAGAAATTGCTAATGGTGGCTGCAAGGACAATGGAAAAAGTAATTCTTAAAAGCCAATTAATCAATTAAACATTATTAAACATGATTAACTGATTATTGAAATAATCGTCAACTAGTTTAATAATAGGTCAATCATTAACTGGAGCGTAGACTCTAAAACATGCATTTAGCTGACAGAGCAGGAATTATATGAAAATTGTAAAAAAAACTATTTTGCATTTATGATTAAAAGACATTATTTTTAGTCAATCTACTCTATTAAGGTAAAAATCCTCTAAGAAACCTTTTGCTATCGAATTATTAATCAGAAAAATAATCGACAGATAAACCTGTAAGCACGATAATCATTAGATGCAGCTCTACTTTACATAGAGTCAAGCAAAGTTTTGTAAATGGAAATATAAAAAAAGAAAATCTAGAAATAAATCTCTGTAAAACATTTTTTCCTATCAGAAAAGTTTTAAGTAAATTTGTTGTTTTCCCCAATTTCTTGTTTTTAAATGTATAATTTTTCTAATTTCTCTTTTTCAAATTAAGTTTCACCACTGGGGGCGGGCTTTACTCTAGAATGATGTATTTCTATTGGCCTGCTGGACTTTAGCAACATTTAAATTGGTGAAGAGCGTTTGTATTGGGCTTGAAGAGAATTAGATCTGTTAAACTCAATCTCAAAAAGAAATTTTAAAAAATAAGATATTCTTAAAAATTTTTTTTTTTTACAATTTCAGGAGACAAAAAAGAGAAAATATCAAATGAGGAAACAGCAATGTTACTCCCAAAACATTTCTTTTTTATTTTTAGTATTGAATTTCTTCCATATTTCTGCTTACAGATTTTCTGCTCCCAGCAAGCAGTGATGTGAAGCAGAGCGAGATCATTTCTGCTTAATGCTGACAGATACTGTCTGTCATGCCTTTTGTTAAAAGACAGCAAGCAATTCATAGCATGGATTAGTTACATAAATTAGATAATGAATTAGTTAATAGTTTAAAATTAGTCTAAGAAAATCCATGTTAAAAAGCAGCTAAAAAGAGTTTGGGTTTATAATTAATCAGAGTTAGACATCTCGTTTTTGTCAGAGCTGTAAAATAAGTTAGGTAGTGAGTGCTCTCACATTGAAAATATCTTTGACGTATTTTTCTCTGAAAAATCCCGTTTCAGCAGTAAGCTACAGAAACTGTTCATGTTGAAGTTAAATGTTGTTCTACACGCTTCTGCCTTGGAAAATATTCGTCTTTGTAAGGATTGCTTTGCTCAGAAAACTCTTTAATTATTTTGTGTAGAGTATGAGAAATGTCTCAGATACATTTGTGTTAAAGTGAAGCTAACTAAGTGTAGAATGTGCTGAGGATGTTCAGATACAAATATTAGTCAGTGATTAGTTTTTTTCTTCTGTGAATTTCAGTTACAAAATAAAAAAGGAAATCAAAACCAGATTTTTGAATGAAGGTTCTTCAAAGCAAAGCAAGCAAAGCAAGCCTTGTGTGGAGAACTTTTTTCATGTTGTTCGCTGGCTGTCTAGCTTCACATGGTCACGTGTTGTGAAGACAGCATACTGTCTTTTACCTCCTAATCTGCACAGTGACAGCAACAGTTCTTTTTTAGTTATTAGTTTAAGGGTTGCCCTAGTGGTTAGAGCAGTGCGCTGTGCTCTGAGAAGGTCGCAAGTACCCGGTTTGATCCCCACTGCCTATACTCTGGGTCCCTGAGCAAGACCCTTAACCCCACACTGCTCTCTGGGTGCCGCACAATGGCATCCCACTGCTCCCCAAGGGGATGGGTTAAATACAGAGAGGGAGTTTCGTTGCTCTGTACTGCTGACAGTGGAAAGACAATATAAGCTGAAAAAAAGATAAAATCAAATAAATCTTATGCTGCGTCCAGACCGAGCTCTTGGGCTTCAAAGCTTCTGGTTTACACGCAAAGTCTATGGGGACAGTGTCGAGGCATCCAGCGGCGTGTCTGAGCGTCCAAGCGTTCAACGCTGGAGTTCAATAAAATGAACTTTTAATGCTGGACGCCGGGGCGTCAATCAATCAGAAAAGCTGATCCAGGAGTTTTTTGGGGGAGACAGACTCTACCTGCAAGCTGTCATCGCTTCTGCAGATTAAAATAAATAAATATCAAGGAGTTAAACTCCAAAGGTTAAAATAAAGCATGAAGAATGGATGGTCATGTAGAAGGAACAGAGAGCAGCTCTGATCATTATTGCTGCACTAAAACATTTTTTATCAGCTATGGAGAAACAGTTTATAAAAACCCACAAAAACTAGAAATGTTAAAACCTGCTGATGAAAAATATTGGATTCTATATTCTGGTTCTGCAGCAGGAAACCCCCCACAGGCTGGCTGCAGCAGAGAGCTTTCAGCTGGGATTCCCAGTGCTGCCTCCTGGTGGTACGCTGGAGGTCTGGAGCTCCCAACAAGAACTGCAGATTATAGTGGGATTATAATCCTGATGAACTGATGAACAGAGGATGTTTGGAGGAGGACTTTCTCTCTTAAAAACGTGTTAAAACTATTTTTCCAACTCATAAAGTGAATAAAGCCGAGCTGCTCTCTAGCTGGAAGCTACAGAACAGAGCAGATAAACAACCAGAGCGTCAGAGAGTCAAAGCAACTTGAACACAGTTTGATCCAACGTCCAGATTTCTGTGTTTGCAGGTTTTTGATGCCCCTAACGCCTTCTTTATAGTTTTAACCACAGGATGAAACAATGAAGTTTCACCAACTCCTTAAAGCGTTGCTGCTTGTTGAACACGTGGTGTAGCAAGAAGCCCAAATCAGCTGAGATCATAGGATCAGTAGACCTCGGCCAGAGCAGCAGTCAGTCCTGGCAGAGATCCCCCCCCCACCTGTAGCTGTAGAGAGAGGAATCACAGACGTTACCTTTCTGCAGGCAGCAGAACCAGAGCTCTCGGATGCTCCAGGACGGTGGAGTTGAGCAGAGTGTGACGCAGGTCGCCATCAGGATTAGAAACCTTCAGAGATAAGGAGGAAGCAATAAGGAGATAGAAAAATGATTTGTAAAGAATTACATCATGATTAAAAATCAGGACAGGATGCATTCATGTTTCCCAGAGGACAGAGAAAGTTGAGAGGATCTTTGAGCTTCTTCCTTCTAACTTTAGGCTTATTGAAGGTTTCTGCATCAAACAGCAAAAGGCCACAATCAGCACCTCTCTGTCCGCGGACTCTCTGAGGGAGGTTTTTGTTTTTTAAGCGGTTTCCATTCGTCCCAATCAACCAGAGGAGCTTTTCATTAGAAAACTTTGCTCCAATCAGAACTTTATCTTCTACACTGCAGAGCTTCAGTTGGTCTCATGTTTTCCTGGAATAGTAACTGGATCTTTGCCACCTTTTAAGCCAACAGGTCATTGGTCGTTTCTCAATTCACAACAACGCGGGTACAAGGAAAGAAGTAAGTATGTTCCTGAGAAGAACCAAGGAAAGTCTGGATTTGGGGAGAACGGGAGAACACAGAATAAATCTGGTTCAATTAGAACAGAAGCGTACTGATGACATCACCACATTCAAAGCTAGTCTGGAGCTGCTTTTCACCTCCTGTTATTAAAAGTCTTTTTTTTCATTTAGTGGAGGAATAATGATGAACACAGTCAGATTAACACAAATAAAATTAACAATTTGCCAAATAAAACAAAAAAATCGCCATCAGAGCCAGCGGTCCTTCACATGCAGAGAGAGGGCTACTATAGACGTGCTAACGTTAGCCGGTCAGCAGCAGCCAGGGCTGTATGGGAAGTACATGCAGCTCGTAATCAAAACAGGGAGCCAGCGGGGGACTGAGCGACTGAACCCGACCCGGGGACGGTAGCCTGGACAACGGCGACTCGGAAGCGCGGTAAAGCAGGCAGGGGGAAGAACGGGGCCACTGCTCCAGGCTACCATCACCAGGTTGGGTTCGGAGCAGCTCTGGAGCTCAAGGCTCGGTTCGAATGCCCGGTCCAGTCCAGTCAGCGGCCCAGCAATCCCACCCCACCCCCCCCACACACACACACTCCTTTTCAGAAACCCAAATCTGGTCCCCATAGATATGCTAGCATTGCTATGAACAGCTTAGCGACAGAATCATCCTTCCAGCTTGCGGTGCTGATGGCCTTAAGGTGGGAACAGCTCCTCGTTTCAGTAAAAAAAGTTTAGCAAATCCTGCTTTGAACTGTCCAATAAAATGCTTCGAGCAAATGAACAGCTGAGCATCAAACTTTGCAGGGATCCTCTGATAGATAAAAATAATCCATGCCTGTCGAATCTTCGGATCCTTGGGAAGACTGTGAAAATGTTCCCCTTCGTCCGGTCAGCCTGGAACGCTGCCTTTCCACCCGTGGTTCTGACTTATTATCAATAGAGAAACTTCCTGCTTTGTAATTGTTGAAGTTAACCAACTGTAGGCTAACGGCTAAACTGCTGTCTTCCATCTGCCTCTATTCATGTTCCTGGGCCTTGAACCAGTGGGCTGGTCTGGATGTACATTTCAGGGCACGATAAAAGTGCAGCCAGAACCAAATAAGGCAACATCCCAGAGTTTACGTCAACTTGTTGCTTCATTTGGATTTGCATGTTTTCTGGTGGAAGTTTAGAATAGTGAGATTTGCAGAGAAAGGAGGTGTTGATGGGTTTGAACTTCTCTGTACGTCCATTTCACCCAATGAAATATCGTTATTCATCTACAATGGAAACTGTTTGCATTCTATGACGCCTTTAAAGTACTTTCTTAAGCAATAGTAGATTCTATTCATTTGTAAGGCTATTGAGTGTAATAGTTTTATTTATTCATTTTATGTCTATATTACTATTTATAAATCTACAGTGGGCGCTGGTTGGAAATGGACACTTCACTCACGCTCCGCGTGTTTCACGTATTGTGTGAAAAACATGTGACTACTATAGCCACTAGGTGGCAGTCTGACTCCATTTCGGCGTCCCATGAGTCAGAATTACATAGGTCGAGTAGCAGACTGGGAGAGGTGTCACGTGTTGCGAACTTATAGCGCAGTGGTTAAGCTGAGTGCTCTGTGGACTAACAGCTTGTGGGTTCAATCCCAACTGTGGCCGAGTTGCCTTAAATGTTTTTTTTTTTTTTTTATAAAGTGATGAAAGTTAGAATGTAACCAGGTTTTCTATTTTTGAAACAACAATTGGAGTTATTCGTTGGACATTCACGCATGAGCCTGTATAAAAAGAGGAGCTGACCAGCTCCTTTAGTCAGAGACTTGCAGTAGACACCGTGTCTGTAAGTTTGTGGGCCTGCAGTCAACTGAAAAGCAGGTTTATTGGGGATCTTGGTGTGATATTGTTCTATTTTATTTTGTTTTTGATTAAAATAAAGTTAATGAATTAATTTAACATTGGGACTGCATAATCTTATTTCATGAAAATATTTATAGATAGATTGATTTTTGATTTTTTCCCCTTTGGTTAAAAATTTAATATATAAATGTTAAAGTATTGCAATTGTTTCCAAATTAATTTTTCTTTGCACCAACCAAAGGGGAAAAAATAGAAAAAAAGCATCTGATTTTTTTTTTTTTTTTTTTTTTTTTGTGGTTATCTGCTGCGGACATACTGTAAGTGGACTGGTCATGTTATTGTCCGACTGATGTGTGGGTTATACAGGCCAAACATCTTCCCTTGCCAACCCAAATAATGAAATCCGTTTTTTTTTTTTTTTTTATCTTGACGAAAACCAGAAATATGGTCTGCCTGCATTCATCAACAACTTATGTTTGTGAGACCCCCTACCCCTCAGGACCCCCGCCTAATCAATGCAAAAAATAACGGCAAATGGCTTTAGCAGGTTATTCAGAGTTGACGCGGTACTTTGCAGACAACTTACTCTCTTGTTCTCTGACAATAGAATTCAACCACCACCATTTACAGAGACCCCCTCCCCCTCACAGCTCAACTTTGTGGTTTAACAGTTCTCAGATAAGATCGGAGGTGTATCTATAACTACTATCAATCTATCTATAAATATTTTCATGAAATAAGATTATGCAGTCCCAATGTTAAATTAATTCATTAACTTTATTTTAATCAAAAACAAAATAAAATAGAACAATATCACACCAAGATCCCCAATAAACCTGCTTTTCAGTTGACTGCAGGCCCACAAACTTACAGACACGGTGTCTACTGCAAGTCTCTGACTAAAGGAGCTGGTCAGCTCCTCTTTTTATACAGGCTCATGCGTGAATGTCCAACGAATAACTCCAATTGTTGTTTCAAAAATAGAAAACCTGGTTACATTCTAACTTTCATCACTTTATAAAAAAAAAAAAAAAAAACATTTAAGGCAACTCGGCCACAGTTGGGATTGAACCCACAAGCTGTTAGTCTAAAGACCACTCAGCTTAACCACTGCGCTATAAGTTCGCAACACGTGACACCCCTCCCAGTCTGCTACTTGACCAGACTGGGAGGGGTGTCACGTATTGCACGGCAAGAAAGTAACACACAAAAACAAAGCTTTCAACGGCACTTATATTTTACAAAACTAAAGAAAATATATTTTCTTACATACCCTTTTGAATAACTTTGGCTTATCTTAATGAGGAATCAACTTTGGATATGATTTTAATTTCAACATCACCAGCCGCAGCACTGTCTCTGTCGCCTTTCTCTGGTTGCGCTACAGTCCGTATCCCCGGCTCCAACTTAATTAATTTTATTTTTCATTAAATAATAGCGATGCAGATAAATAGAAATAACAGTTCTCAGATAAGATCGGAGGTGTATCTATAACTACGCAACCATTTTCATAAAATAAGATTATGCAGTCACTTGACTGCATAATCTTATGTTAAATTAATTCATTAACTTTATTTTAATCAAAAACAAAATAAAATAGCACAGTATCACACCAAGATCCCCAATAAACCTGCTTTTCAGTTGACTGCAGGCCCACAAACGTCACCCTCAGCACGGCAGAGGTCCCAAGCGCCACCTGGTGGTTGTCCGGGTACATTGCAGTTCTTTTTGAAATAAAAAAACTGGCCTCAGGAAATACAACGTGATTCACGTGGGAATCACACAGGAATCACGCAGGAAACCGTCCATTTCCAACCAGTCCCCACTGTAATCATTGTTATCCTTTTATGTATTTACTCTTTGAAATTGTTATAAATTGTTTAGTATGTGTGCATGCTGCGAAGTTTGCCTGCTCTTCATTGTGCAAATGGTGTAGCACGTGTCAACGTGTTTCTGTAAACTCTTATTGGAAATTAATTTTAAAAAATGAATGTTTTTACCTCTATCTTCTGGGCTCCAGCGTCTACCCAGTAGAGCAGCCTGCTGATGGGGTCAAAGGTCAGGGCCTCCACATTCTGCAAGTCTTTCCTGACTATGACCTCCTGACCCGTGCTGCCGTTCAGACACAGACGCTGCAGGAGAAGCAGAACATGGAAACGCCATCGGTGAACAACGCAGCAGCAGAAGAGAAGCTGAAGTTCCACGGAGCACCAAAGGATCCAGACCTGGATGGTGTCCAGCGAGATGTCGGCCCAGTACAGGCAGTTCCTGTCGTAGTCAAAGTCCAGAGCCACAGCTTCCCTGAGGCCGGCCAGCGGCAGGGCCTGGTCGGTGCCTGTAGCCAGGTCGTAGCGGTGGATGGAGTTCCTCACGGCGTACAGGATGAACTCGTTACTCTCTGTGAGGACACGGCAGACGGCTCAGCATAAAGCAACCAGGCACACGGGTCATTTGGTTGTTTAGAAAGGAACCGACCTCCGACAGGACAAGGCAGCATCTCTCCATCCAGCCTGGCTTCCACGTCTCCTCCGCTGCAGCTGTCCCCCGGTACCTTCCTGTAGCTGCGAGTGGAAGAACCAGACGGTTTAATACCCAGCAGGACACCTGGTGGTCCTCACACCGAGCAGCCAGCAGGAGGAGGAAACACAGAACCAGTGGCAGCAGAGGTGGACGGATCCGATCAGAAACAACGGTAGGAAACGCTCAGATCCTCCAGACACCAAACTTAATCTGAAACAAACCAGGAACTCCAGCACCACAACCCTACGTCCATGCTGTGGACTCGGACTAGGCCACTAACTCTTAAAGTCGTAGGGAAGCGGCTGTTCCAACCGTTGAGTGGTGCCAGACTTTACACGAGTGAATAAAGTGAATGTGATTGGTCGATTATCAAGGGGCGGGATTGTTGTGGTTTTGCAAGCTTTTTGCTTGTGGCCGGTTTGTTGGAAGCATCTTGCTAACCAGTTAGCAACTTAGTGCTAGCAGGTTCCCAATGGGAAATTCCATTGGGACCAAGTAGCACTAAATTGGTGACTTAGAAACGACGCTGTCAAGGAACGCTATGGACAGAGGAAACATGCAAGAGGAGGAGAGTTTAGTGTCGGAGGTCGTGGATGAGTCTCCTCCGTCATCCATTTTTTATTTAGAGGAGGAAAGCGGGGACGAAGATGTTGTGGAAGAGGACGCCAGGGCGGCAGAAGCTTGGTTTGGTGTAGAAGGCTTCCAGCCGTACATGTTTGAGCCCTTGCCTCGCAACGCTGCCAGTTCTGTTAGCTCTACGCCTACCGAAGACACAGACGTCCATCCCCGTGAACACTGGGACGCAACTCAATGGGAAAGGAAAGGATTCTGATTTCAACCGTTGCGTATATTAGCTGGGACATATGAATTAAGTAGCCTCGTGAGACCATCCTGATCTCGCGAGCTTTCAAGGTTTCACTCGCAGATCAGTCTGGAGACTCTCCGTTGAAGAAAATTTGGAGCCGTTCACCAAATGAACGTCCAATCAGCGTTGGCTTTGAGGCGGGTTGAGGTGTGACGCAACGAGAAGCGCAACAGTTCAGCCTGAAGAACATGGCGGCTTCAGCCGATGAAACTAGCGTTAGCGTGGCTATCGAGCAAGTTTTATGGGAATTACAGAGTATATCTTCACTGAAAGAAGAGCAAAACACTGCTCTGGAGGCTTTTCTCAGAGGAAAAGATGTTTTTGCTCTTCTCCCGACTGGTTTCGGCAAGAGTTTGATCTATCAATTGGCTCCTCTTCGTCGTCGCTCTGTTAGTACGTCATATGCTTCGTTGATCTGATTGGTTTATTTGGCCCGTCTATCACCAACATAGGCCAATCAGCTAACCAGTATTTTCGCCCCTTCCCAAAATTACTTCAACGGAAGGTTTCCAGATGGATATGCGGAGCAAATCCATCTGGCAGAGTCAGGTTATGAATCAAGATGCTATGACCGAAAAAATTTGATTGACAGATGACTGTTGATATATGATTGGCCGAATTTAGGTGTTCAGGCTGACGTAGAACTAACTGGCCTGCAGAAGATAACGAAAAAAAACCCCACAGATTTTAGGACAGGATTTTTTCAAAAATATAAATTTTCTAAGAGTGATTTGACATTTAAATATGATTCCCCTTGATCAGGTGAAAACATCCCCTCAGCATGCTGCTGCCACCGTCGTGTCTCTCCATTGTGTTAATTTCAATGAAGTTAACACTGACTGAGTTATAACTGTTTTTAGTGTAAACCAACAACCAGTGCTGGACGAGACTTTGTGCTGTTAGCAGCGCTTTTAAAAGGTTCTGGTTCTGGTCGCTCTCAGAGCAATGTTAGAACTCGGCTCCATGAGGTATTAACTCTCAAAAGTCTTCCCCATCTACTGTGCCAATCGCTAGCATATCATGTTTCAAACGTTTAGCTTAATAACCTCTATTTTTCTAGTTCTGCTGCTCCGCTGTGCAGCGTGGCTAAATGGGCCCATTCAGGTGAGAACTGGAGGAGGTTAGATTTACAAACAGAACCACAGGAAGTCTGTTCTGCTTCCTTCATTCTATTAAGCAGTGGAAACAGGATGTTAGCTAACAGGACGTACGGGCGTACAATGTGCCATTACCTGTTTGCCAATAATGGCAAACAGAATAACTTCCAGTGGAAATATTTCCTTTTTCTTACTTTTTTATTCTTTTGTATTTTTTAGAGGCATGGGTTTCTTTTTGTATATCTTTGTATTTTCGTATTTTCGTCAATATTGCATTTTCTAAAAATAAAAAAACAGAAATACATAAAAAAGTTCAATCATCTTGTGATAGTTACTTTGACTGCTCTGAGCATGCGCAAATATACGTCACACAGCGTATATATTTAAATTTGTTTAAATATTTGATTTACTCTGTACTTAACTATGCACTCCAGCAGTACTGATCCCACAATGGATTCATTTGCTACCTTTCGTGACCTGCAGTTTTTCATTGATAAGGGAACATTTCCTGAAAATTTGGATTTTTATTCCAGAAAAAATGACATCAAGCAATACAATGGATTGAATTTAAAAAGCATCCATTTCTTCCAGAAAAGTCTTCAATATTGTCCTTACGATGTAGTTTAGTATTCTTTAATTATTTAAGGATATAAAGAAAGTTTTTTCAGTACCGTAATTACATTATTTTTTGGCGACCCGGAAGTTATTCTGTTCGCGCAGGCGCAAATGAGCTGATGGTACGGATCGTGCTACCGGTACGGATCGGGTAGCGACATACACGCTTAGCTAAAAACTTTAGAAATTGTATGCCCCATTTTTGGGATGTACGACTTTGGTACGCCGTAATTTTACCCCGGAATATGAAGGAATATCTAATGTTTCTATGGACAATTTCACTGGCGGGAACAAGCACGCTGCGCTGTCTGCAAGCGGGTTTTTAAAAAGTTTAGGAAAAGTCATTGAATGGCTGATAACTGTAGGGTTATTTTGGAGTGTTTTTTTTTTTTTCTTTGGGACATTACTGTCCTTGGAATGGGGGGGGGGGGGGGGGGGGTAACAACAGCGTAAGCTCCTGTCACACCTGGACGATTTAGACCAGCGACTGCCTGATATACAAAAAATCTGGCAAAAACGCTGGCGTATGGGAAACCCTTCGACATACTACGACGTCAAGAATTTGGAGCATGTTTAGAGTTCCCCGACATATTCCAGCGTGTGACATACGTGGGCCATAACTTCCTGGTCAATTATGTGATGGTTGACATACGTTCAGTGTAAATTACTCATAGGTCGTAGCGTCTAGCTTACCCGGAATCTATGAGTAATTGTGCATAACGTTTGCGTAACTTATCAAGAACCTGTTCCAGTTGACCGCTTACACTTAGACACTTAACATTATTTATCCCATGGGATTACTTCCCAGTAGCTTCTATAGAGTACAAAGAGTTAAAGCAAAATGCCATTAAAGATAAAAATACTACTGACAATATAAATAGAGCAGTGTTGTATAGTAACAAAGTAAAAATACTTCATTTCTGTACTTAAGTATAATTTGAAGTACTTTATACTTTCCAAGAGTATACATTTTTTGAGAACTTTCACTTTTACTTCACTACATTTACGAACTTAATTGCATACTTTTACTCCGATACATTTTCAATGTTTGGTTTAGTTACTAAGTAAAAAAAAAAAAAAAAAAAAACGAGCAAGACAGCGAGAGAAACGGAAGTGTTTTGACCCCGCCTACTGACTACAAAGTTGGGTCTTGACAATAGGATACTCCTGTTTCACAAAGTCAGTCTAAATTTATCCTACACTTAGTTGTTTATACTATTTTAGGTAAATTTAACCTTTAAAGTTTACCAAAATGTACCGTAAAAAAATGTCATTCAAACTGCACTTACTTTTTACTTATACTTTTCACTACATTACTTGAGTACATCTATTTTTACAGTAATCCTTATACTTAAGTACAAGCCATTTCATTTACTTTAAGACTTTTACTCAAGTAACATTTCAGTCAGTGACTTGGACTTTTACCAAAGTCATATTTTGGAAAAGTACTTATACTTTTACTGGACTCCGAGATTTCATTACTTTATACAACACTGAAATAAAGTGTATACTGTACCAAAACAGCATTTAAAAAAAAGAAAGCTGTAATGTCCTGGAATATGTTTCCCTTAGATATAAAAACACGCTGAACGTGTTTCTAACTTCCAGCTACTGTATAATGGCGTATTGGCAGCGTTTTGGTATAAAGGGGGTTCACAGGAGGAAACCGTCAGTTCTCCTCCAGACTTCATCCCCATCATAGGGTGAGCCAGAAGGTGAGTGATGGATCCTCCCTGCGTTCACGCCCACCACTGTTAGGTTCATTCTTTATACATCATGTGCATTGTTATTCTGTTAGCCAGATTAGAGAGAGTAGAAGGCCTTCCTTCACATTGTGGATGTCACTGTGTGTACGGAGGTCATCTAATTAGGACAGCCTTCTTGTCTTTTAAAGATACACAGGATATGGGCAAATCTTGGAGCCGGTCTGATGAAGGAGAGCTAGCTGTAACCCTGGGGCATAGAGGCAAGATGCAAGAAGTTCAGGGCATTCATAAGTCAGTTTCTGATACGGACAGCTAAGCATCCACCTGATGCAACACATAGACTCATGAGCTATAAGAAGGAGAAGATGGCCTTGTTTAGGGCTCAATCTTTGCCGGACGCTCACTGATGTTTTTGGAGCCCACAGCTCTGCAAGCTCCAAGCATTTTCTCTGTCCTGTAACGACCTGATCTGGAATAAACTCTGTTACTTTTTTACCCTTGTTCTATAGTCCTTTTTATATGGTTTTACTCAGTTTGAGTTAAGAGTAGAAAATAACTTGCTCCCAGGAAAAGAACCGGAAGGGAAGTTCTGAGGCGCAACTGCCTATTGGGGGGGGGTAAACAGCAGCTGGGTTAAAAACACGATCAAAGACATCTTTTTCTGCAAACCGGGCGCCTCCGAGCTCGTCGCTGCCCCCCTCAGGACACTGTGCATCCTTTCCTGGGCATTACTCTGCTGTGTGTTATGCAGAAGTTAGGCTGTTGTTGGACAGAAGTTCTGGAATCGTTATGAATACTCCATGCATACGCCCAGAATAGAAAAAATACGTAGAAAGTTCAGCGTATTCCAGAGTTTTAGGAGATTCTGGGACGTCAGGCAGACGCTGGATAAATCAGCAAGGTGTAACAGGGGGGGCCTAACGTAAATGACACATGGGTGGTGGGGGTTGTGGGAGGGGGGGGATTGAAGCATTCTTAACAAAGTAGATATAAACAGGACCGAACTGTGAATCTGTTCATGGTTCAGCAAATATCGGTGAGAATGAACAGCCTCTATGGATACGGAGAACATTACAACACAGAAAATCATCAATTATTAAGATGAAATGATTTTTAATTCATTAAGATTACTCTCATGATGACCCTAGTTTTTGTTAATCGTTTAATACCTAACATTATTTATGTGATAAATCCCAGTTCTGATCATAAAAAGTAACTTTAAATTACTTTATCTTAGGTAACTTTTAACTTCGATTGAGAAGTACTTGAGTTACTATCTATTACTTATGGGTAAGAGTAACTAATAACTATAACTAGTTAGCTTTTTCAGTAGGGGATGAAGTGTCATTGCCACAGTTCTAACAGTTATTTTCTTTAAATTTCTAAGGAAAGACGTGCATTTGTGATTTTGAGAATTCACCCTTTGCTGCGACGGTAGGTGGTCCCAACGGGACAAGGGACCGGAGGAGCGTACAGGTCTCCAAGGAACTCTGGGTCCGGTACGCACACCTGAAGAGACAGGTCCTCGCTGAGCTTAAAGCCATAGTCACTGAAAACAGAAAGAGAGAGACTGAGAGCTGCTATTTCCAGCTGACGTCGCATCGTTCTTCAAACCCTTTAATTATCTTTATTTCTGGGATGGTGTTTCGCTCCTCTCACCATTCGTAGTCCTGCCGCGTGCAGGAGCAGTTGGAGACGGTGACGGGGCGATCAAAGTCCTCCCCGTTGAAGCAGGTGGCGTGAGGAGCTCTCCTCTTGAAGGTCACCTCTCTGCCCAGCAGACACTCGTTTCCATGTTCGTCTGAAGGAGACCAGCGCTTGTAGTCGGCCTCTGAACACGGGACACCTGGAGCGGGGGGGGATCTATTATTAGGCAACACTAGGCAGCTGTCCAGGGCCCCAGGTTCCTGGGGGGCTCCATAAAACTCTGTTTCCATGTATGGTTATAATAATAATAATAATAATACATTTTATTTAACAGCGCCTTTCTAGACACTCAAGGTCACTTTACAAATAATACAAAAAATAAATAAAAAGAGATGAAAATACAAAATACAGATACAGGAACATAAAAAAACAGAGAACAAAAAAACCAATTATGGATAGGGAAAAGAGCAGTATATTCACAGATAAGCGAGCTGGAACAGATGGGTTTTGAGTCTGGCTTTGAATAAGGGGAGAGAGTCAATACTGCGGAGGTCGGGAGGAAGTGAGTTCCAGAGCTGGGGAGCAGAGCGGCTGAAGGCTCTGCTCCCCATGGTGACAAGTCGAGCTGGGGGTACAGTGAGGTGGATGGAGGAGGAGGATCTAAGGGAGCGGGAGGAGGTGGCAATGTGAAGGAGGTCTGACAGATATGAAGGAGCAAGGTTATGGATGGCTTTGAAAGTATAGAGAAGGATTTTGAATTGAATTCTGAATTGAACTGGGAGCCAATGGAGTTGGTGAAGAACAGGGGAAATATGATGGAAGGAGGGGGTTCTGGTGATGACACGAGCTGCTGAGTTCTGAAGAAGTTGGAGTTTATGGAGAGATTTATGAGGGAGGCCAAAAAGAAGAGAATTGCAATAATCAATACGGGAGGTGATGAGGCTGTGGATAAGGACAGAGGCAGTATGAGTGGTGAGGGAGGAACGGAGACGGTTAATGTTGCCAAGGTGGAAGTATGCAGACCTGGTAATTTTATCTATGTGAGACTGAAAGGAGAGGGAGGAGTCGAGGATGACACCCAGACTCTTGACCTGAGGGGAGGGGGAGACTAAGGAGTTGTCAATGGGTAGTGAGAAACTTTTGATTTTTGATAGGGTGGATTTAGTGGCAACGAGGAGGAGTTCTGTTTTATCACTGTTTAGTTTAAGGAAGTTTGAGGTGAACCAGTCTTTAATTTCAAGTAGGCAGTTAGTAAGGGACAAGGGGGGGAGAGAGGAAGTGGGTTTACTGGATAAATAAAGCTGGGTGTCATCCGCATAACAGTGAAAGTGAATGTTGAATTTCCGGAAAATACTGCCAAGGGGAAGAAGGTAGGTGATGAAGAGGAGGGGGCCAAGAACTGAGCCTTGAGGAACACCAGAAGTGACAGGGGAAGGGTGCGAAGTGAAAGATTTGAGCTGAATAAACTGAGTGCGGTCGGAGAGATATGAGCGGAACCATTCAAGAGGGATGTGAGAGATGCCAAGAGAGGATAATCTATTGAGGAGAATGGGATGAGAAATGGTATCAAATGCTGCACTGAGATCGAGAAGGATGAGGATGGAGAGGAGTCCGGAGTCAGCAGCTATAAGGAGATCGTTTGTGATTTTTATTAGGGCAGTTTCAGTACTATGAGAGGGGCGAAAACCAGACTGGAAAGGTTCGTAAAGACTGTTGAGGGTAAGAAAGGTGTGGAGTTGAGCAGACACAATTTTTTCAAGTATTTTAGAGATAAAGGGAAGATTAGAAATGGGATGAAGATTATTAAAGTTAGTGGGATCAGAACCAGGTTTTTTCAGAATCGGGGAGACAGATGCAGTTTTGAAAAGTGAAGGAACAATACCAGAAGAGAGTGAAGAATGAATAATGGAAGTAATGAAGGGGAGGAGGGAGGTAAGACAGGTTTTGACCAGAGCCGTGGGGAGGGGGTCAAGAGAACAGGTAGAGGACTTGGATTTTTGAATGAGGTCAGAAATTTCAGAAGAAGTGGGCAGTAGGAAGGAGGAAAATGACTGGCTACGGGGGAGGGGCGGAGGGGAAGTGGGAGGCAAGGCGGTCATATGTAATTGCTGGTGAATGGAGTAGATTTTTTCATTAAAGAAGGTTGACAAAGAATTACAGGTCTGAGTAGAATACATGTAAGAAGGCAGGGTGTCAGGGGGGTCAAAGATCCTATGCATTATGGAAAAGAGAGACTTGGAATTTCCATCATTGGAACAGATAAGGTCAGAATAGTAATTTGATTTGGTAATGGCTATTGAATTTGAATATTGAAGTAGATGAGTTTTATGCATTTCTTTGTGTATGGAGAGACCAGTTTTTTTGTGGAGGCGTTCCAGTTGCCGACCTTTGGCTTTCATGAGGTGGAGCTCAGGAGTAAACCAAGGGGCAGAGCGGGAAAAGGTCACAGACCGGGTTTTGAGAGGGGCAAGGTACTTGAGAATATTGGAAAGTCCAGAGTTGTAGTGGGTGACAAGGTGGTCCGGAGAGGAAAGAACAGGGATTGGGATATTGTCAATGTGGGAGATAAGATGTCTGTGTTTATGTTCTTCATATTGCGGAAGGAAATCTGGTGGACAGGCTTGATTATGGAGAGAGACAGGGAAACGTTGAAGGATAAAAGAAAGTGATCTGAAATATCACAATATAAGCTATTACTAGATAGACTAATTAACATTGGTATAGGAAACACAGCTATTACTTGGTTCAAAAACTATCTTACAGAGCGAACGCAATGTGTTTCTATAGATGGTCTTAAATCAGACTTTTTAGAAATTTCTATGGGTGTTCCTCAAGGTTCGATTTTAGCCCCCATCTTATTTTCTATATTCATAAATAACATTGGAAAGGACGTGCAAACTGCTAAACTGCATCTTTATGCAGATGACACTGTGATTTATTCAGTTGCCTCTTCACTGAACCAAGCCATGCATGACCTTCAGTTGGCCTTTCAGCAGCTTCAAGTTTCTCTACATGGCCTTAAGTTAGTTTTCAAGGGCTCGTTCCCAATCCCCAGATAATATAACTATTAACACATTAAATGGAGACTTAATTGAAAAAGTTTCTTCATATAAGTATTTAGGTTTTTGGCTGGACAACAAACTTTCTTTCAAAGTTCATGTTGAAAAACTTGTAAAAAAAGCTGAAACTACGGCTGGGGTTTTATTTTAGAAATAAAACTTGTTTTAACAAGTCAGCCAGAAAAACACTTGTGAAGGCTACGTTTTAAGTGTTTTGGACTATGGTGATGTTGTCTACATGCATGCTGCCTCTAGCACTCTCCACCTGTTAGATTCTGTGTACCATAGTGCTCTGCGCTTCCTAACTAACTCCTATTCCCGTACTCATCATTGTACGCTGTATGAACTGCTAGGCTGGCCGTCACTAAGTCTACGTAGATAACTTCATTTCTATATTTTTCTATACAAGGCCATGTTGGGTAAACTGCTGGCATATTTATGTAATCTCCTCAAGCTAAATTCCAGCCATTTTCATCTCCGTTCCACCAGGTGGCGCTCTTACCAGGTTCCAATGGTTTTTACTGAGCTGGGGAAGAAATCCTTCTCTTACTTTGCTCCATGGTCCTGGAATACTTTGCAAAACTTGCTCCATTTAAATGATCTAGTCCAATTGAATGAATTTAAGACCATGTTAAAATGTCATGTCATTCAAAAATGTAAATGCCCTATGTGACCTGTCTTTTCCTCTATGTGAGATTTTGTCTATGTTGTATTTCTGTTTGTATTTTAACTGGTGTGCCGTCTTGGCCAGGTCTCCCTCGAAAAAGAGATTTCAATCTCAAGGGACTTCCTGGTTAAATAAAGGTTAAATTAAAAAATAAAATGGTTCATACAACTATTCCTTATTTGTGCACATTAGTTATGTTTTTAATAAAAATCCTTTGTCTAAAATGCCATCAGACAATAATTATCAGGAAATAAACCACTCGTCTGATCATGAGCTCCATCCCAGGTGCGATCTGAGACTCCGGAGCAAAGCGAAGGCGGCGCCTCATTCTGCCACCTACCCAGAACATCCGAGGTGTTGACCTGCAGGATGAGCCAGCTGTGCCTCTGCTCAGCATACGAGCCGAAGATGGTGAAGATGGTGCTCTTCTCCCCCGGCTCCGTCAGAAGCTGGTACACGTACACCTCCTTCTCCGAGAACTGGAACTCGGTCCACGTCTCTCCTTCGTTGGTGCTAAACCTGCCGACGACACGTTACAATCCATCCTCTGCAGGACAAAGATGGAGACCAAAGAAATGAGTTAACGTGAGACTTACTTGAGATGTTTGGTGGCGCCTCCCTGTGTAATGGCCATCAGGATACCCCCGTGGTCCCCCCAAGTATAGAAATGAGGGCCAGCCAGAGCCTGAAGACAAAAAACAAGAACATCTCTTGGCTTCTACTCTTCAGACACTATTTCATTTCACCGTCCCAGAAAGAACAAACACACAAAAATACATCAGTTTTCCTCAGGAATATATGAATAACCAATGCTTTTATTTTGATGAGTCTAGTTTCGCCTCAGTTGTAGCATGTAAATAAGATGAGTTGCCAATTGAATAAGATTTTTTTATCTTAAAATAAGATCATTGGAAAATATGCACTTAAAATAAGACAATGCCATTTTTTTTTTCTATTTTTAAATGTAAATTGTACTGTTCCATTGGAAAAGAAGTATTTTTTTCTTAAAATAAATGCATTTTTTCTTGGATTAATCAGTTCAAGACGCCATCTTAGACCTGCTTCAACAAACCCGCTGTCATTTAGACAAAGCAGACAGCAATGTGAGGATCCGGTTCTTTGATTTCTCCAGAACATTTAACAGCCTGACTCTAAGAAGGCTCAGGCGGGGCATCAACAATCACCTGGACCAAAAAAACCTGAGAAACTTAGGTTCTTATCATGGCAAGGGCAAAAAAAGCTCAACTGTTCTAAGAACTCTGGAGATGATTTCACACAGAGGGATTCCTCATAGTGAAGATCATGGAGAGCAGTGATTTCCTGAAGACTCTGACTTCTTCAGTCGGATCCTTCCCTTCTACACTGGCATAAAATCTAAATCTAGAGAAGTCTTTTTTTCTTAAAATAAAACCATTTCTTCTTGGATTAAATAAATAAAAGAAACATTTTGCCAATGGAGGAACATAATTTACATCTTATTTCAAGTCTACGTTACCTACAAAACCCAAAACCAGAAAAGTTGGCCTGTTGTGTAAATCGTGAATAAAAACAGAATACAATGACTTGCAAATCATTTTCAACCTATATTCAACTGAACACACTGCAAAGACACCATACTTAAAGGAGAAGTTCGGTTTTTTACACTTTAAGCCCATTTTCTGTAGTGTCCAGGATGAAATCGAATGATCGACACCAAAATTTTGACAATTGCTCCTGTCTCTGCTTTTTGGCTCATTTAGAATCACCCCCTGGCTGCTTTAGAATGGCTAGCATAGAGCATGTCCGATAATGTCCTTAAAACAACCTTAAACGTTCTTTTTTTTAAATATGCTACTCACCGTGTCGTCAGCGCTGTTCAATGACGTTCCAAAAAAAGTTTCGTGAAGAAAAAACGTTCCTGTAGTGTTTTATTTAGCATTTTGTAAATCCCATTGAGTTCTGTAGGAATAGTCAATATTCCGCTGCCACCGGAAACGGAAATGGGGCCTGTTTACACAGTTGTAGTCTTTTCGCTTCACTCTGTGTACTCGACGTCGAGAATCAAGAATCCACCTTTCGTATTCCATTTTCAGAGTTTTTTAAAGTGTTTAACAGAGACGTTAGCACCTCGACGTCGGAGTACACAGAGTGAAGCGAAAAGACTACAACTAAGCGTAAACAGGCCCCATTTCCGTTTCCGGTGGCAGGGGAATATTGACTATTCCTACAGAACTCAATGGGATTTACAAAATGCTAAATAAAACACTACAGGAACGGTTTTTCTTCACGAAACTTTTTTTGGAACGTCATTGAACAGCGCTGACGACCCAGTGAGTAGCATATTTAAAAAAAAGAACGTTTAAGGTTGTTTTAAGGACATTATCGGACATGCTCTATGAAAGCCATTCTGAAGCAGCCAGGGGGGGATTCTAAATGAGCCAAAAAGCAGAGACAGGACCAATTGTCAAAATTTTGGTGTCGATCATTCGATTTCATCCTGGACACTACAGAAAATGGGCTAAAAGTGTTAAAAACCGAACTTCTCCTTTAACGTTCCAACTGGTAAACTTTGTTATTTTTTTGCAAATACATTTGGAATTTGATGCCTGCAAGATGTTTCAAAAAAGCTGGCACAAGTGACAAAGAAAACTTATCCAACACTTATTTGGAATATCCCACAGGTGAACATGCTAATTGGGAACAGGTGGGTCCCATGATTGGGTATAAAAGCAGCTTCCTTGAAATGCTCAGTCATTCACAAACAAGAATTGGGCGAGGGTCACCACTTTGCGAACAAATGGGTGGGAAAACTGTCGAACAGTTCAAGAACAACATTTCTATTGCAAGGAATTTAGAAATTTCCCCATCTACGGTCCGTAATATCATCAAAAGTTTCAGAGAATCTGGAGAAATCACTACATGTAAAGGGGCAAGGCCGAAAACCAACCCTGAATGCCCGTGACCTTCGACCCCTCAGGTGGTACTGCATCAACAACCGACATCAGTGTGTAAAGGAAATCACCACATGGGCTCAGGCAGGGGCGTTGCTAGGCACAAAGCTTTACTGGGGCACTTGCCCCCTACCGCATATGTCCCTCCTTCCATACACAAATACAGACAAGCACACTGCCCCACTGTGATATATTCCTACCAAAATTAACAGTTGAAATATTAATAAGTGTAAGATCATATTTGTTTTAACAAACATGAACATTTTCAACGTTGCAGCTATAATAAATAAGACATTACCAACTTTGACAAATAAAAAGTTTCCTAATACACATTCTGAAGTAATCATTAATTCCTAGGTTACAGAGTTTTAGTTCAGGGGAACATTTAACTCAACCTGAACTAAGTTTTTCTTTTATTTATTGAGCATTAAAGTGTACCTCTTATTTTTCATTTTTGCAAAGCGGTCAATCACTAGACTGTGACTCAGCTTAGAAAGTTCTTCCTTTTCAAATGATAAAATAGCCAGATGATGGAGCCTATCTTGTCCCATTGTGGACCTCAGCCAAGTGTGGAGCCTTCTCAACACACTGAATGACCTTTCACAACTCCAGCTGTTGACTGGGATTGTAAAAGGGAGATCTGGATGACCTGCGTTAGTGTTGGGAATATGATGTTATCAAGCAAGTTGAAAACACTGCATATCCTTGATGACAAGGCTTTCTTTTTCAACCATCAAACCATTTTGAATTAAATGAACGTTTTTTTACTCCAAATTTGTGCTGGGGATGGTGGGACAACTTCACTTGTTTAGGACCATCACGCTTTCCCCCTAAGTCACTAATGTCCCCTTCTTGTTTGTGGAAGCTGGTTGTTGCTCCCTCATCACCTTCATGGTCCTGTCTCTCTCCTGTCTCTTGCCTGTCTGTCTCGCCTCCTCCTCCCTTTCCTACTCCAGCACCTGCATTCTCATTCTCTACAGCAAACATTGAAAAATGTAAATTTATATTTATGTAAATATCAGTCATATTGCTTATAACGTTGCTAATGTAACTGGTTAGCTTAAATCACTAATTCATCACGAGACCTTACCTCCCTCTCTCTCATCTTGTTTTACTGCTTCCCTGTCTCTGCTTCGTGTGAGGAATTTCCTGATATCCATCTACAAACCAGTGCAGTAATTTTCAGTTAGTAGCCTATAAATCATCTGGTTTCACTGGGAAAATAATAAAATTGACAGAACTAAAAATGCGTCGCGGCCGCACAGTGTCCCATCCAACTCAGTTGAGAGCAGCGCGTTAGTTTACCTGCAGTTCATGCAGTGACATGCGCTGACGTGGGGGGCGCTATTACATCCTCATTTTGGAATAGAAATACACATCTCCTCCCGTTGGAATTATTTTAATAGATGCTTTAAAAAATGTATTACTGTTGCAAATATTCATGAGATTTATACTGGGGCACAGCTCATTTATACTGGGGCACGTGCCCCAGTAAATGGGGTCTGGTGACGCCGATGGGCTCAGGAATACTTCAGAAAACCACTGTCACTAACTATAGTTCATCGCTACATCTGTAAGCGTTAGTTAAAGCTCTACTATGCAAAGCAAAAGCCATTTATCAACAAGATCCAGAAACGCCGCCGGCTTTGCTGGGCCCGAGCTCATCTAAGATGGACTGATGCAAAGTGGAAAATTCTTCTTTGGTCTGATGAGTCCACATTTCAAATTGTTTTTGGAAACTGTGGACGTCGTGTCCTCCGGACGAAAGAGGACAAGAACCATCCGGACTGTTATAGGCGCAACGTTCAAAAGCCAGCGTCTGTGATGGTATGGGGGTGCATTAGTGCCCAAGGCATGGGTAACTTACACATCTGTGAAGGCAACATTAATGCTGAAAGGTGCATACAGGTTACATACATATGCTGCCATCCAAGCGACGTATTTTTCATGGACACCCCTCCTTATTTCAGCAAGACAACGCCAAGTCACATTCTGCACATGTTACAACAGAGTGGCTTCGTAGCAAAAGAGTGCGGGAACTCCCCTGGCCTGCCTGCAGTCCAGACCTGTCCCCCCGTTGAAAATGTGTGGCGCGTTATGAAACGTAAAATACAACGGAGACCCGGACTGTTGAAAAACTTAAGCTGTACGTCAGCTTAGAAGAATTCCACCTGAAAAGCTTCAAAAATTGTCTCCTCGGTTCCCAAACGTTTACCGAGTGTTGTTAAAACAGGGTTCCTACAGCATGAGGCAAGTTAAGTTCAAGACTTTTTAATGCCACTTGAAATAAAAATTTAAGACCAAATTCACAAGAAACACCAGAAAAACCTGCTTGCGACAACTTAACCCAAAGGTTTATTTTAACATAAACCACTGCACTAATGTTTCAAATTTTGAAAGGCTTCCCATACAGGAAGAAAGCTAAAAACACACAAATGACAGATATATTTTAACAATTATTTAACTGTGTCAGGTTTCTGTTATAGTATTTAGTCTTGCTTTACTCCTTGCTGTGTTCTTTGGTTTTTTCCAGTTACTGTCCTAGTCTGGGTTCTGTTATGTTTTCTTTTAACATTGTGTTATTTCCAGTCTTCCAGGTTTCTATTTGTTGCTCTCTGCTGCCCTCTTGTGTTCTCCTTCTTCCCTAGCTCTTTCCCTCTTGTTCTGTGCACACCTGCTCCCAGTTTCCTCATTAGCCCCCTCTTTGTCTCTGTCTCCTTTAAAAGCCCTCTCTCTTCAGTTCCCCTTTGCTGGGTCCTCGTCAAACACCGTCTACATGCACTAACTCCTTCTCTCAGAGCCTTCTTCATTATGTTTGTGATTCCCCTGATGTCCCCATGGTTTCTGGTACGTTAGACTTGTTTTCATGTTTTTGATTTTTGGACTTCTGGTATCATGTTTGTTTGGACTTTCTGTTTTCTGTTAAGTCATTATTAAATCCACAACAGATTCACGTCTGCCTCTCTGCCTCTTCTTTTGGGTCAACACTCAATAACCAAATCCTGACAAACTGAATTCACAAACTTTGTTTTAGCAGGGAACAAAAAAAATCAGTTTTAAAGCCGCAACATAACCATTGCTAAGTCTTTTTGCAGCTATTTTTCTTTGTATGGTTTTCTTAGTATGTTTGATTTGGTGATAAGTGGAGGCGTTGCAGAGACAAGGGTGGAACTAAACTGAGAAATACCGGCTGTTTCTCTCTAACTCCATTTTGACGCTTTGTGTTTCGCGCTTCGCATGTGCGACTCCACTGCCTTAATTCCCATCGTTCTGAGCTTGAATGACTTCTTGCACTAAATCCACTGAGCCTCATGTATGTTCCCTGGTTTTAGCCATGGAGAAAACTCTTGGCTGGAGACAATTTTGGTTACATTTACACTTGCTCATATTTTCCAGACAAAAGTTAATGATGCATCTCCCAAATGTCCCGGCCGCAACAACGCTTTTATTGGTTCCGATATCGGAACCAAAATAAATAAAAATAAAAATAATCCTATTTATGATGTTTTAAAAATTAAGACCTGCGAAAAACTGATTTAAGACATTTTAATACCAATTAAGGCCTTCGTTTTATTTTATTATAAGACTTTTTAAGGAGCCGCAGGAACCCTGCATAAGGAAAGGTGATGTAACACAGTGGTAGAAATGCCCTGTGCAACATCTTTCTGGCATTAAATTCTGAGTTAATGGTTATTTGCAAAACAAAATGCAGTTTCTCAGTTCGAACATTAAATATATTGTCTTTGCATTGTATTCAGCTGAATATGGGTTAAAAAAGGTTTGCAAATCATTATATTCTGTTTTTATTTTAGATTTACATAACCTGCCAACTTTTCTGGTTTTAGGTTTGTAATTATCTTATTTTAAGAGTAAAAATCCTCATTCTATTGGCAAACTATCTCATTTACCTGCTCAAATAAAGGGTCAATACGCTTCATCTAAGAATATTTGACTTATTTCTAGATAGTTTTTCCAACATCAACACCGAGAACAACTGGTTAAAAATAGCAACAACAAAAACTATGACTTGCAGAAACATTTAATTTCCCTTTTGGATTAATAATAAAGTATATTTGAATCTTACTGATTGGATTCTGCATTAAAATCTGAATCAATACCGAGCTCTGCTTGTTGTAAAGTAAAACTTAGACATAACTCAGAGGTAAAAGTCCTGAAACTGTTAAACATTATTTACAACCGAAGCATAAACGAAATAAATGACCCAATAGTTCTGCAGGAATAATGAAACGTTTGGATTCTTATCCAGTTAGTTTAACCTCACAGATCGATCAACAGATCGGCCTTTTCTCTATTTTGACGTCATAGAAACGAGCTGCCGTTTCTCGTCTCGCCGTCTGCGTCACCTTCCGTACTGACCTCTTTCCAGCGAGCTCCAGCGCTGCTCGATACGTAAACGTTGGGCTTGTTGGCCAGATTCCTGCCAACGGATCCTGCAAGCAGAGAACAAAGCAGGTAAAACACATGAAGGGAATCTCCTGTTCAGCATCTGGGTCTCTCCTCATTTAGCTTCACAGATGAAAAGCAGATTAAATAAATGTAATCCATTAAAACATCATTTTGCAGAAGAGTAAAATTATTAAAATACGGTTTAATCTTCTCATTATTTGTTAAATCTGTTTTTCTGGGCTTGCAGCATTTTAATGCATCAGGAAATAGTTTGGGGTCTGATTTTCAGCCCAGTCTGACCTGGAAGAAGGAAAACATGAAAAGGAACCAGAACTAAAGGCGTCGTCAGCAGCACTCGATGCGGAAGCCATCAGAGAGGGGCGGAGTCAGAGTCAGACTGCTGTTATCAGTCTGAGATACTGAGAAAGCACAGAGCTGTTAAACGCTGCATAGAGGAAAAGCTATTTCTATAAAAACGCTGTGCTTCTTTAAAGGAATAGTACACCCAAAACATGATTAGCCTTCATTTTCTACTCACCCCCATGCTGAACAACACTCTGGAGTACTTTTTTGATATCTCAAATGCATCTGGAGATCTGGGAGGCTTCTTGCTGTCTGCTGACATTCAAATAATGGAGGTCCATGGCGCCCGAGACAGAAAGGTCCATAAAAGTCCACAAAAACGTGTCAATATTCCTCCATACTGCTCGTCCAATGTAATCCAAGTGTCCTGAGTGGGTAGCATCCAGAATTTACTCGAAACGAAGTCATTTAGAACGTTTTAGATTCTAAACAGTAGTGTATAGGATTTCCTAATAGCGCCCCCATGCGCGCTCACGATTCTACGGAAGCCGGCAGACCAAACCGGAAGAAAGTGCGCATTCAGCGTCTGCTCTGCCGATAATGCAAGCGTAGAAGAAGAAATGTGCTGTTTACCTGTGCAAAGAAAGAAACAACGAAAGAAAAATGTCTGAGGACTTCAGTGATGAGGAAGAGCATGAGTTCTTTGCCGAGCTGAATGCGCTGGTTTGGTCTGCCGGCTTCCGTAGAATCGTGAGCGCGCATGGGGGCGCTATTAGGAAATCCTATACACTACTGTTTAGGCTCTAAAACGTTCTAAATGACTTTGTTTCGAGTAAATTCTGGACGCTACCCACTCAGGACACTTGGATTACATTGGACGAGCAGTATGGAGAAATATTGACACGTTTTTTGTGGACTTTTATGGACCTTTCTGCCTCGGGCACCATAGACCTCCATTATTTGAATGTCAGCAGACAGCAAGAAGCCTCCCAGATCTCCAGATGCATTTGAGATATCAAAAAAGTACTCCAGAGTGTTGTTCAGCATGGGGGTGAGTAGAAAATGAAGGCTAATCATGTTTTGGGTGTACTATTCCTTTAAGCCTCCAGGAGAGAGAAGATAACAGGAAGGCTGCCTTGTTTTAAACTTTAAACCTCAATCTGTCAAAGAAGGCAGCGGATTCATTATTCTGCTGGTTTTTGGACGTCTCCAGGTTAAAACAAGGATCGTCATTATTTAGTCCTCACCGTTACTGGCTGCTGTTACTGTCATGTAGGGGTGTGGGAAAAAATATATTTGCCGATATATCGGGATTTTCAGCTGCCAAATTAATATTGATTGTTAAGTTTTGACTCAAACAATGAGGGAAAATGGGCTACATCTGCAACTCCGCTCTGGCAGATGGCGCCATGGAGCCCTTTAGCCGTGCGACGCTGCGCCATATCTGTAGTTGAGGCCGTCACGACGGAAGACGTGAGCTGTTTCTCAATCTGTGTACTTGTGCGATCTCATACGCTAAAAAAACGTCATCAGCCTGAGCCTTAGTACCGTTCCAATTCAATAAATAAGACCAAGAACGGACAAAGTCCCCGGATGTTGTTCTGGCCCCTCCCTCTTTACCCAGCATGCATCAGAGCAGACTTGTCCTTTCTCCAGACTACTTCCAGGTTAGCGCTCACAGAGCTCAGAGGATTAAGTTAAAAGTTCTCTTTTCTGTTGCTGTTGTTCAATAAAAGTACGTTTTAAGATAATTAGAGGTGAGAAAATTATATTTTAAGCTTCACTATATGGAACATTTACTGATTTAATGCGTAATTTAAAAAAAAAGTTCCGATGTTGAGAGGACGGCGGCAGCCAGGGCTAACGTTAGCCCGTCTGCAGCGGCCATTATTCTAACTTCATTTTATGGTACTAAGGAGTCTTTAATTATATGTTTTTAAATTAGTTAATAACTATTAAGTATTTTTAGTAACAATTGAGTATCATATGTCAAGAAAGAGCTAGGTGTCCTCTTTTTCAGAAATCTAGATGTGCTCACCCTGATTCTGATATAACACCAGAGCTGCTGTGATTAATCAATTAAGTCTAATTAGATGAAATCCTTTAAAATCTGAATACGAATTAGAATTTCATGTATGAGGAAATCATGAAAGTTTCACTTTTAATTTTCTTCTAAGTGCTACGGCTGTGATATAGATGTAACTCAACTTAAAACAAAGCAGAGTGTATATGACGTCATCCGCACGCTGGACTGGAGTTGTGACAGACAACCCGGGCCACAGGCGGCGCTCTACCGCTTCTATTCATTCTAGCTAATCTGAATCCTTCAATTCCATTTGGAGAGCGAGATCATCTGTGGTAGCAGCACTAGACGTGAGGAAAACTAGCAGCAGGATAAATGAACGGTAGCCAGCGTGCGCGGATGACATCATACATGCGCCGCTTTGTTTTAAAAAGATATAGAAAATATCCCCAGACGGGTGTCTGGGAGGCAGTGATTGGCCTCCATGTTCTGAATGCTGGCGTACCATAAAGAATAAATGATGAACAGTTTAGTTTGTGCCTTCAAGTCGTTGCCCATAGGAAGACGTTACTTGGATTAGGGGTGTAAATAATAATCGTTTTGTATCGATGCATCGATACGTCCGCAAGAGAATCGATTCATGTTTTTTTTTTTCCTCCGGTCTATTTTTATCCATTTGGATGTAATTCTCCTCCCGTGCTGCGGTGGCGCTAAACCTATTTTGCCCTCCTACCGCGCTTCCTGGTTATACTCTTACAGCAGTTTGTTGCAGTGAGCTTGATGCAGACATTTTTGATTTATGCTCAATATTGAAGCGTGGTCTGAGCTACACACTCCGGGTCTAGATACGGCCGAGGCGGCGAGGAAGTGGGGGCGAGTTTAGTCCGACGACAGAGGGACATGAGGGCCAAAAAGAGCGGAGATCCAGGTGGAAAAAGGGTCCCAGCGTTCTCGCGCACCTCACTCTTCTAGCGGGTCAAACTTCAAGAGTTGTTTCCCGGAATTTCGGTCATTAAAACAAACCAAGCTGGCCTCCTGTCTGCAATTAGGGAGAGGAGCAGCGGAGCGTCAGTGGAGGGGGGGGGACGTCTGGAGCTGAGGTATTGCATTGAACTCATTGCAGTGATTTTCTGCAGTATTTTTTGATGCAACTTTTCTACTTCTGTTATTTGCTGTTGTTTCAAAAAAAAAAATGCATAACGATATTACAGCTTTCATTGATTTATTTCAAACTTGAAACTTTGTTTAGCCTGTAAGGTGTAAGAAAATTAATAAATAAATAAATAAAATTATCCGCTTAATTGATTAATTGAATTGAATCGAATCGTGCTGTATTCTTGAGTATCGAAATTAATCGAATCGTCTGGTCAGGAAATCGCCATGATGGATGTGATTTACACGCCTAACTTGGATATAACCTAACGGAATATCTTCAGAACGGCTCCAAATGACACTAAACTCATACGGGTGAGTAGAACATGATGGAATAACGGAAAATCAAGGAGGCACTGTAAAAAAAAAAAAATGGCGTTCCCCTTTAAGCTAGAAATATGTCTGAAATGTGTGAATTATATATTTTATAGCGGATGTTTAAGTCTTCTTAAACTGCTTGAAGTCATTATTCTGAGAAAGACCAGAATGTTTTCTGCCATATTTCACAGTCGTTCAGGTGTGCAGATGGAGGTGGAGAGAAAGAAGGGATGAAGGTGATAAAGAGCGAAAGGTTGGTTTAGGAAAAGACACTTGGTACAAACCGAATCCTCAGAATTGTTAATATTAAAAACATTAGCAGGATGTGAACTTTATTGAAACCTATAAAATAAAGCTTATTTAACAATGTTACTCAGTGGCGAAGAACAAAAGACAGAAAGACAAGTTAAGTAATAAATAATGTCTTGGATAAATTGCTTTTAAGTGCAGTTGTAATCTTTGAATAAGGGTTTTTTACTTGTGCTTAAGTAATTTTGTCCTAAAATAACAAAACTAGGGCTGCAACTAACGATTATTTTGCAAATCAATTAATGACTAATTATCTTCTTATCCAGGATGATGTTCCTGAATCTCAGATCAACCAACTGTTGCATCTCAAGTGAGACAGAAAGCCTGTCATTTCTGCAAGATGTGATAAAGCCTTAGAGGGTTTATAACAAGGGAAAACCTGTTTGGTTGAATGAAAAGTATCAATCCTGATGTCTGAATCTCAGAAAGTAGAAAAATACGTCAACTAGACGACGGAGTAGCAGCTGTAATTAGCCCATCTGTTTGGGAGCGATAAGAGAGCCGAGCGCTCGCTCCCTCACAGCTCTGCACTCTCTCTCCATCCTCACCCTGTTATCTAATAACAATTACATTAGAGAGTCATGCTGGGGGTGGGGGGCGTCAACAAATCAGAGCTCTCCACCAGCTGCAAAGAGCTGAGGAGTTGTTGTTTTTTGCCAGTTTCAGCAGCAGAGCGTTTTTATCCCAGCAGTTTGCTGCTGACAGAACATCTAGATGTTCGGTGAGAAATGTTCTGACAGAGATCAGCAGACCTGGTCTGTCTGGTTCACTTCCTGTAAAGGTCGGACTGTCTGGTGGCAGCAGAAATGTGAGGAATATGAAGAGAAGCACAAAAAGACGACGGCCAGCATCTCTTCCTTCTTGTCCTCTCATAGACAAACCTGGAAAACCTTCAGAGAATCATCCAGCAAACATGTCAGTTGAAACCATGGCTCCTTT